CTATAATAATATATATATATATATATATATATATATATATATGTGGTTAAGTTGATCAACTAATTGCTTTATAAACTAATACAAAAAAAAGAATTGAATGTTCGACCACTCTGTCCTGATCATGGCATTTTCATCGACTAGTAGCAGTATTACTAATTTAATTATAAAGGTCTGAAAAAAAAAAACAGAAGCATGAAATGTTGAATTTTTCAAAAGATTTGAACAAAAACAGAAGAAATCTGGTAATTGCAGAGTTCATGCAATGCATATTTTGCAACGTAAGCAAACAGCCAGCTACTCTTTGGAGAATATCTGGTATCTTTTTATGATATTCATTTCCAAACTCGGAATAACAATACTTTTTCTTTTCTGCATTCATACTTGATGATACTTAGTCATAGTTTAATTAAACTTTGATTTAAACATCTTTTGGAAGAAGTTAGTTTTAAACAAGTTTTATCAAAATCATAAACAAATATTACAAGTACATAAACATAAGTATCACTCGTTCCACTTTCCTTATAGACATGACGAGTAGAACATACTGTATATACAAAACCATAACCAATCAAATCTATTAATGTATACTTTTTTTTTGTAGTTATTTTACTTTTGATGATTTTTAAGTTTGAAAAGCATGTTTTGCTAAGTCATTAGCACACAGATTTGCCTTCCCTAGAGAGAAGCTAAAGCAAGTTAGTTTCTTCTTTGTGACTGGTCTAACCGAATTAGCCATGTAATTAACATGTATGTAAGTCATTTGACTTTTTTCATTCCATTAGTTTAATAATTTCATACTTTCCTGTTAATTTTATAAGATCACACCACGCGTACCCTTCGTTAAAAGTCAACTCCCTCGTACCAAAAATACAAATTTATTTAAAAAATGAAAATGACAAGTTTTACTAAAAGGACAAGTATTTGTCAAAAATTTGAAATCCGTAAGAAAAAAAAAAACTTTTATTAACTTGTCAAAATTTTCATTAACTTGTTTATACTACTAATTCAAATAAAAATCGGAATATTAACATAACCCCAACAGAATAAACCTCAATAAAAAGTCAACTCTTTCATCTTCTTCTTCATCATTTTCAGCTCCAAGATAAATAGCCAAAGCTACTATTCGATACTAGTCTCGAGTCTCGACAGACAAAATCTACTTCTAAACTAACGGTGCCGATTCGCCAACATCATGCGACACAACACGACACAGTTTCTTTCTTCTTAACTGAACGGTGACGTTTTTATTAAATAGCTCTGGTCGTTCCACATTCTCAAGATGGGAAATGGAGCAGGGAGCTTTAGTGGCTGTTGCGCCGGGAAAACTAACACTAGATACGATGTCGGAGTAGAAACAGTTCAAGAAAACCTCGGCCACTCTTTCTGCTACGTCCGTCCAGTTCTCACCGGATCTAAATCTTCTTTCCCGCCGGAATCTCCCCTCCGACCCGACCCGATACCCGGAACTACGACAACTTTCCGTTCGATCTCCGGCGCCTCCGTTAGCGCCAATGCTTCCACGGCTCTCTCGGCTTCTCCCGCATCAACAGACGCGTCTGGGTTAGCCTCCGCGTTCGAGAGCTCCAACAGATTCGCCTCCTTGCCTCTACAGCCTGTGCCACGTGGTCCGATTAAAAAGCCGGTTCCCGGCTCCGGTTTATTCGAACGCCGGTTCTTGTCCGGTCCCATCGAAAGCGGGTTGGTTTCAGGGAAGAAGAAGAAGAAGAATAAAAGCAAATCATTTACGAAACCAAAACCTAACAAAAAGTTTCTTACATTCAAAAACGTATTAACGAATCTGGTCACTAACAATTTAACTCGTTCGAAGAAGAGCGTGATCGAGCCAATCACCATGTGTTCCGATTCATCAGACGAATCATCAGACTCCGATCATGGTAGACCTGAGATCAACTACTCAAGCACGATCCTGAACAACCACGAGAAGAACTCTAGAACTGAAGAAGGAGAAGAAGAAGACGAGAAGACCAAGTCTGCTGCCTTGGAGGAGCCAAAGATACAATGGGCGCAGGGGAAAGCAGGGGAAGATCGAGTTCACGTTATTCTCTCTGAGGAAAACGGTTGGCTCTTCGTCGGCATTTACGACGGTTTCAGCGGTCCAGATCCACCTGATTATCTTCTCAAGAATCTCTACACCGCCGTGCTCAACGAGCTCAAAGGGCTGCTATGGATCGATAAAGCTGAATCCGAATCTAAGAATCTTGAATATTATAGTGAAAATGAGGAGTCCAAGATCGAGAAACAGAGTACAGTCGAGCATGATTCTGATTCAGTACAAGAGAAGTGTCCTGTGATGAATGGGGACAATGTTGTTTGCGAACCAAGTAACATAACGAGTGACGTGAAGAAGTTACAATGGAGGTGCGATTGGGAGCATAACTCAAGCCACGAGTCTAATGATAATATTAAAACGAAACAGAAGGATTTGGAGACGATTAACCACAAAGACGTCCTAAGAGCTCTTCAACAAGCGTTGAAGAAAACAGAGGAATCGTTTGATTTGATGGTTGATGAGAATCCTGAACTAGCACTGATGGGATCTTGCGTTCTTGTGACATTGATGAAAGGCGAAGACGTTTACGTGATGAGCGTAGGAGATAGCCGAGCAGTTCTTGCTCGGAGACCAGATCAGGGGAAGAAGAAGATACAAAAAGAGCTTGAAAGAATCAAAGAAGAGAGTCCATTAGAGACCTTGTTCGTCACAGAAAAAGGATTGAGTCTTTTGGTTCCTGTTCAGCTCAATAAGGAACATAGCACAAGTGTCCAAGAGGTGAAACTCTTTTGCCAGTCCTGATTCCAAAATCTCTCTTTTTATCGATGCACACAATAAACTGATATAATAATTTGTTTGTATGTGACAGGAAGTGACAAGAATCAAGAAGGAACATCCTGATGATGCATTAGCGATAGAGAATAATAGAGTGAAAGGTAATCTCAAGGTCACTCGTGCATTTGGGGCTGGCTTTCTTAAACAGGTATATATATATAGACGATCTTAGTTAAACAGTTATAAGATATATCTCGCATTTTGTTGGTAATAGATTTGGATTAACTAGGCTACGTACAAGGTTTTAAGAATATATGATAACGTAGAAACAAAAATGCATTAAAAAAAAAAAAATTTGTTTGGTTCGGGTTTGGTAATAGTTCAATGTGTAATTCCTCAGCGAAAATGGAACGAGGCGCTTCTAAAGATGTTCAGAATAAACTACGTGGGAACATCGCCGTACATCACTTGCTGTCCATCCCTCCACCACCACAGACTCTCATCACGTGACAAGTTCCTAATCCTTTCCTCTGATGGGTTATATGAATACTTCTCTAACGAGGAAGCAATCTTCGAGGTTGACTCATTCATCTCAGCCTTCCCTGAAGGCGATCCTGCTCAACATCTCGTTCAAGAAGTTCTCCTTCGAGCTGCCAAGAAATATGGTACTACTAAAATAAGAACAAAAACGCAAAAACGCACTTGAGATTCTTAACTATTGCAGTCGTCTTTTGATTATAATAAACTCAAGTGCAACTTTCTTTGTTTTTGTTATATTAGGAATGGACTTCCATGAATTGCTGGAGATACCACAAGGAGATCGTCGGAAGTATCATGACGATGTTTCGGTGATTGTGATTTCACTTGAAGGAAGAATTTGGAGATCTTCCATGTGAATAATATTAAGTAATCTCTTTTGAAGAGAGACTTGTTAAATTAGCTTTAGAATTTTCAGTTTTTGGCGATTCCACAAAAGTTTTTAATATCATCATTGCTGGGGCGCGCATATTTTTAAACTCTGCTCTGTGTTGCATTTGTTTTTACCAATTTACGTCAGTGATAGGTGAAAAGTGAAAACTATATATACAGTGCAAGAAGCATATACAAATTTACCATTTCTCAAAATGATTTAAATAAATGTATATTCTATACGCAGATCGAGCCTAGCAAAGTGTTATCCTTTCTTATATCAAAGGATTAAATAGTACTACTCTAAAGTCTAAACACAGATGAATTGATCACATATGTACATGGAATCACTTTTTACAAAGAAAATGAAAAGAACAATCACTATTTGATTTGCATATGAATGATTATAATTCGGATAAGATTCACGAACCTGATTTTTGCTACGTTCTCTCCGGACCACACATCCCTAGTGACTTTCTCTACCCTTTTTCCATTCTCTTTTTCAACGAATTTTCTAGTCTTTTTTATTATTGAATAGCTCTTTATTTAGATACGACAAAATACTCCAAAAATACTTTATTTTGGATATTTTTTTAAGATATTTCCCGTCCTAAAAAATATCTTTATTTTACTATTGTAAAAATTAAAACTGTAAAATACTTCACAAATATCAATTAATAAAATACTTCACAAATATCAAGATCTCTTTTTTTTAACAAAAAATATCGAGATCTCTGAAATATTCTTTTACCAAAAAAATATATATTCTGTGGACAACTGACGTTAAACGCTGACAAAAAAAAAAAAAAAACTGACGTTAAATATATCACAGCCGTAAAAAGAAATAAGAAAATAGAAAAACATATCGCAGCCGTAGATATAGATGTACACGTAAGGCGGTGGTAGATCTGGACGGTGATAAAGACCGTAACACACGGAACTTAAGGTATGCGCTCGAACGTACCAGAACCAACACACACACACACTCCTCAATTATTTGAACCATACAATTATTAAAACCGACGTACGAGAATCAATGCCGCTAAAGGGGTAAAAACGTAAATAACAAGAAAACTGATATTTAGGAGATAAGAGCGGAGAAAGATCGCGACACGTGTATGGTCAGTATTATCTCATTTTTGCTTATAAATATATTTAGGAGCTACCCTTTCCTCATCAATATTCATTCTCTCATTCTGCGATCGTATCAAGTTTCTAAAAATCTCAAATCCGATTTGGTTTCATAATACTCTCTTATAAGAAAAAGAATGTCTTGCTGCGGAGGAAACTGTGGTTGTGGATCTGGCTGCAAGTGCGGCAACGGATGCGGAGGGTACGTACGCTCTCGTATTTATCTTTAATTCCGGTGAAATCGTTGCATGCAACAACTGCATGGTCTCTTGTTTTCATCGGATAACTGATTGGGTTTTTATGTTTGGTTTGTTTTCAGGTGCGAAATGTACCCAGACTTGGGATTCTCCGGCGAGACGACAACAACTGAGACTATTGTCTTGGGCGTTGCGCCGGCGATGAAGAACCAGTACGAGGCTTACGGCGAGGGTAACAACGCTGAGAACGATGCTTGCAAGTGCGGATCTGACTGCAAGTGTGACCCTTGCACCTGTAAATGAAGAAACATATCTACTTTTTTTTTAAAAATAGGCAGAGATTAATTAATATCAACAGTGTTTTTAATTTAAAATAAAGTGACCTTAAATGGTGTGTTTTAGGTTTGGTTAATTATGTGTAATAATAAGGATCGGCTGCAGCTTAATCTTTTTAGCCTGCCGACACTAGTAGTCTAGTATTGCGTGTGGTTTAATGATCATATAATCTTTTTATTATTATTAGATGTCTCTGCCATGTGACGAGTTTGTACTTCCTTCTTCGAATGGAATGAAAAAGTTATAATACTTCATAATTCTGTTTTTTTTTTTTTTTTTGGCTTTTCATATTGGTCCTCTCCGTTGTTTATGAATTGGAGAAACGTTAGTAAGCTAACGAGAAGCCGAGTTGTGAATTTTCTTAGTTAAACGAGTATGTTTTGTAGCCTTGAATCCAAAAATTTGACTCGTGTGAACATGTTAATTTGAAAAATTGAAAGTGTATATCTATTCCGCGTGCCGAACCACAATTATTGGGTCGCAGTTGTATAAATCAAACCAGATTTCCAAACATTACTTTATTTGGTTCTATTTATAAAAAAGAGTCACAATAAAAGTGTTAGAGCAATGTTTAATTGGTGGGCTCTTAACCTTAAAAGTCCCCACCATTAAACATGGTTTTATGGGCCTTTTAAGGCTTCGACTTGACTCATAGACAAATATATATAATTGTCATGTGAAAGGTTACTTTGACTGCAAAACAAACATTATAGAGATCACGAGACAAATTGTATACAGTAGTCCGATTAGGTCAAAGCTCTTGTTAAAGTAAATATCATTATCGAGAGAGAGAGAACTTTTATCACGGTATTATATATATTTTGGTTATATTTCCTTTTTTTTCTTTTTCTTAAGGTTGCACAACTTCACAATCAATTGGATTTCTATATATTGATTGGTAGGGTTTAATTATGTGTTCAGGAGAGAAAAATATGGAAACTAGGCTAGTCAATGAGAACCCAATTGTTTACCCGAAGAGAGAGCGGCGTGTTCGTACTGATCAGATCAATGACGATACCAATGAGTTTTCTGTTGAACCAATTGACCGCCTCGAGATTTTTGATATCCTTCTCTTATTAGATCTCCCTAACTAGCTAAGACAATTATTTTGTCATATTTATGTTTTATTCATATGTATTGCATCTTCTTTTAGTTTCCTTAACAATCTACAAATCGTATAAGAGATATCAAAGATCCAGAGCATCGTGACCTTTCTTTAGAAGACCTCAACATAGTTACAGAAGAATCTGTTGAAGTTGATGCTGACAAGAGTTACGTTAGGTAACAAAAATATTACTTATAATAATTGTGATTTAATTCATCTTACCTTTTTCTTTTTTTCTTTTTATCCCGAGACGACCTACTAAACTGTGCCATCTTTTTCTTTTGAGTACAGAATTACAATCACTCCAACTCTTCCACATTGTCACTTGCCACAAGTTATTGGTCTTTGCATCTACGCAGCACTTTTACAAAGCCTACCTGCTAGATTCAAGGTACAAATTATTTACAAACGTTCTTGTTTCTTACAGAATCCTCGTAATTTTTGAGCTAATTTTGATGTGATGGAAAATCTCAGGTCGATGTGAGAATAGCACCAGGGAGTCATGCAAATGAGGCTTCAGGTATATCATTTTTTATTTTTCTGGTTGCAATTAATGGAAAAAAAAAAGAAAAGGTTTGTTTGTTGAGTAGTTTGATCCCTCAAATTAGTGTTAAATTAATTGCAGTTAATAAACAACTAGGGGACAAAGAACGTGTGGCGGCAGGATTAGAGAATCCCAGCTTTGTGGCTCAATTCGGTTCAGTGCATGCAAGTGTGTGATTTTCATCCATGACATATATCTTCTAGGATGATTTTTACCTTTGTCGTTCGTCTTTCTAGTTTCTTGTGCTCTATCTCTTATATGACATTCGATTCTAAACAAGAGCCTAGTAATTTTTATATTCTATTTAACTTGTTTTAGTCATAAAACTTGCATAGCATTAACACAAGGTAATCCTACAAAATTGTCCATGCTTTCTCATTGGAGTTATACCAAGAGATACTTTTATAATTGTAACGGTAGAAGACGTTAGCTATGACACAATAACATGCTGCACGACCCCATTCATAGTTGAGCGCTATGTCTGCCGCTCTCCATCTGCCTTTGTGCATCTTGTAAGACACATCCCTGTTGACACATCTCACATAGACAGTTCCTTCAAACACTGCGGTTAAGTACTTAGAGCATGAGCAACGCCGTAGTTATGCATCGTCCCACCGAATAATTGTTCAAAAAATAAAACACAAATACGATTAATCAAAAGAACCGTTTCTTAAAACGAGACTTTTTCACTCGTCCTTCCAGCCACGTGGCTAATATTTTATTGAATTATGTTTTTTTTTTTCTATCATCAAGGGTGATATATTTTTATAGGGTTAGTATTAGAAACTGTTTGAGTGTTTTGTTGGCTGTGATTATGCTTTTGTTTCCTTGTTGTTTGTTTAAAATATGAAAAATTATAAATTTTTATACGGTTGATAAGGTATATCAAGAGCATCATTACTACTGAGAGACTAAATCCAAATATTTATAAGGTTTTAAAAGGGTCTAAACGACATTTATAAGGTTTTAAAAGGGTCTAAACGACATTTATAAGGTTTTTATAGGTTTTTTAAAAAGTTTACAAAATTTTTATAAAGTTTTTAAATTATTTTTAAAAGGTATTTATACAGTATTTATGAAATATATATATATATATATATATAAATTTACACACATATAAAGATAATTTGTACTATAATTAGTATTGGTTTCTGTTACGAATTCTAATATTTCTATGAATAGAATAAAATGTTGGTTTAATCTTTGTATGCTTTATGTTTTATATTTTTAATGTCTTAATTGTATTTATTTTTTTCCTATTTTCAACTTTTTGTAACTTTGAAACTTTTTAATGTTTTGAATTTTAGTGTTATATGTTTTATATTAATCCAATCTTTAATATTTTAACTTATTTTTTTAAAAAAAATAATTTTTAAAATTTTAAAATATTATTATTTTAATCATGAGAGCAAAAACATGGGACACTAATGCTCATATATAAAAAATAAAGAATTGTCCCATGATCAAAATATTCATATTTTAACCATGTGACCAAAATAAGTCTCACACCAATGCGCATGCTCTTAGAGCCTCCAAATATCTCCATGTTAGGGATCTGCGAAACTCGCAGGTTTGGGTCTTGGTATTAAAAACCTCCATCCAATTCGTCAGATTAAGATTTTCGGAACCTCCTGGTACATAAATTTTCCCATCAAGGACGCAAATAGAGTGGTACTCACAGGCCACCCGCGTGCATGGTGCCCGACGCCATGTGTAAGAGTGGAAACCAGGATCATTGTCTTGGTGGAGTTGATTGGTTCCCGACAGAGCGTGAACCAACGTAGTGGCTGAGTGCCGGTACGTAGCCGTAAGCAAACATGAAGACAACACTCGGTGTGGCCTAGGAGGGTTCGGGTCTGATAAAGTTCCGTTGAAGCAAGGAGAGCGGAATCTCTTGGAGACTAAAGAGAGAGTTGGGTAATGAAATCTTGAGACGCGGGCTTAACAGTTTATTACCAAATCATCAGGAAGCATCAGAAATGTCATCCGTCTTGTCTTTTCTCCATTCATGGCTGCTAGTTTTGGATCGTCTTTTCTTCATTTATATTTTTTTGTTAATTGTAAAAGATAATTTTCAATTTTTTAAAATAGCAAAAATCTGGGAAAAGTCAAACTGAAAATTAGTAACAGTTTGTATAATATATTTTGCTCTTTTTGACATTTGTTTTCTCCTTTGTTGTTTTTCCTTTTTTGAGAAAAAAAACAAAAAAACAAAAAACCTAACTCATGTGAGGAGTTGTAAATTATTCTTTGGATTAATCACAGCTATAACATTAACCCAAAAATATATAAAAAAAAACAATATAAAGAAAACCAAAGCGTGTTATAAGGAGGAGATCTCTGTTTAGCCTAGGGGTTGAGAGTCTTAGTCAAGCAGCATATCTTTCTCAGCTGATTTGATTTCATCATCAGCCTTTTCTTCCTCTGCAGATATAAACTCAAGCTGTCTTGATTTGAAAACTGCTGTTCTTTTCGATCTTATCCGATATGGTGGAGACAGATTGTAAGCATTTGATCCATTATTTTGAACCTCTTCACTGACAGGGCTCTCTGAACTATCTTTACCATCATCCACCTTTTGATCAATCTTTCTAACTTCAGCTGTTTTCGTGGCATCATTGTTATCCGGAATAACAACCCTGGGTCGTCTTTTCCTGAAGATGGAAGGTGTGTTTGGGTATGTTCTGGCAGCTTCTCTCAGGAAAGATTCAGGACTTCTTGGAGCTGAGCCGTTACTGTACTCATTTCTACAGGGCGGTGGAGTGAAGAAGCTAACTGGTGATGCAATTGGACTGCAACCACATTCATGCCCATACATACGTTGCGTATCCGCTTCTGATGCCATGTAATACTCTATTTGAGGCTTGTAGTAAAGACGATAACCATTCATTGCCACTCCACCAGTCTCTGGCAATGGCTCTGGGTTAACACACTGAGGAGAATAAGCATACTCATTAACAACAGTCATTCGTGAAGCAGCTACTCTTTCTTCAAGCGGAACACAAGAGTTTGACTGGCCATTTCCATCTTCATCAGGGTTCTTTAAATCTGTAGTTCGTGATGGGGTTTGAGTTACTGAATCAGAACCCCTTTTCTGAGCAGATAATGAACGTTTAGTTACACTATCAGGAACACCATGCTTTGCTGTTGTTGGCGGTGGTAACCTACCAGTACTTAAGTAGAACTCTGACTTCTTTTTCAGTGAACTATTCCAATGGTTCTTTATTGCATTATCAGTCCTGCAACATATTTTTGGTAAGCTCTTCATAAAAACCAGTGCTAGGCTTTCTATAGTCATTACTCCATTGAAGCATACCAAGAAAAGCATATACCTGCCATGTAAGACCTTGGCTATTTCAGCCCATTTGTTTCCATGAATTCGATGAGCATTCATGAGAGCTAGTTCTTCCTCTGCGGTCCAAGCATCCTTGTTAATATCAGGATTTAAATGGTTGTGCCACCTAAATACATTTCAAAAGAGATTAAAGCTTACAAAATAACTATAAGAAAAATGATTGGCTCATATGAATTTATTACCTTTCTCGACATTGCTTCCCAATTCGACCTGTTAAAGACTGTGCAATAACAGACCATTTTGCAGGCCCGTATTTCTCAACGAGTTCAACAATTTTCTCATCCTCCTGCATAACAAGAAAATTTTAAGCCTTCGTACTTCACTTAAAAAGATGCCAACCAATTAGATAAATCAGAAACAGAATGAACCTCTTGTGTCCAAGGTCCCTTAATAAGATCCGGATTTAGAACTTTCTGCCACCGGTGCAGGCATTGAACTTCAGTTCTATCATTGAAAAACTCCGCTGCGAAAATAAATACACCAATTTCAAACAATAAGAACAATACTAAATGCTTCACAGAAAAACTGAAAATAAACGTAAACGCCTCAGATGATCAAGTTAATCTACAAGGGTAATTCACTAGATAGTAAATAGTACGGACAGTAAACAAGTAGGCATTTGGAATTATCTACAACTTCAGACAAGACTCCAACTCCGAAATTGCAACCACAAATCTCTGTAATGTTGTAACGAGAACTAGAATTAATTAGACATACGACTTATACCTATCTTCTTCCAGCTCTTCCCTTTAAAAGTGCCAACTGCCCGTCTCAATGTCTCATCCTGCATAAATAAGAAAAACTCTCATCTTGATTTTTGAACTAGTGATCCACAATTTATATATGTCAAAGGAATCACTAGTCAAATACTAACCTCTTCTGGAGTCCACCCGCCTTTCGCTCGCCTTATAGGGCCGCTAGTCCTCCTGCATACCAAAGATTATCAACATCAATCTCCTATAGAAAGTGAACATAAGAAACGCCAGTCTGACAAAGGAGAAAATGTAATCCAAATTGGTAAAAGAGTGCTGCAGAGGAGATACTTCTCAGAGAGAGAGAGAGAGAGAAGAAGAACTAACTCGTGGTACCTATGAGCTGGTGATGCAGTGGCAGGACTTGCAACTGTAGGTGGTGACTTGTGGGAACTTTCGGCACTGCCTTCAGATAGAGAAGAGCACGAAGCAGGTGTTGATTGCTTATTTTCTACACACTGACCCTCAATTTTCACTTCACCTGTTTCTTCCTGGATATCCATCTGTAAAAATCAATAATTTGATAAGAATTATCAGAGAAAACCCTAAAATAACAAACCCATCATGTTTAAAACACAAAGCAGACAGAACCCAGATCTCACAAATCAACAATTCAGCAAACAACTCAAACATTCACCAACCATAACCAAATTTTTTTAGGGTTTATAACAATTCCAATCACAGAAATTCATAAAAAAGCCCTATTTCAAGAAAGTGGGATTCGTTTCGAGACAGAGGAAAACAACCATGAACTCAATTTCACTACAATCTGATCACAAGAACAAAACCCTTAAAAAGTCAGATTCGATACACAAAACGAACCTCATCTGGAGAAGCAGCCGCTGGATTCAAACTGCAGCTCATCGAGATATACAGATACACGAATTCGCCAGCAGCAGCGGAAGAAGAAGAAGGCTGAAGGAACGTTAAAAAAACCAAAACTTTATTCGAAAAATACTTTGCCCGTTGAACCAGAGAGAGATAGAGAGAGAAAGAGAAGACTTGATCGAAACAAAGAAAAAAAAAATTTACATTATAAAAATAAAAAAGGGTTAAATTAGCTCTCTCTCTCTCTCTACTATTATAACGAATACTTCTTCAGCTGACGTCACACCGTTACTTGCCGTTCTTTTTACCTTAAGTAACCTATTCTCTTAACCGGCCCCGGTTTATTTCAATACTTATTAGAATTTATAGAGATGTCAGATGTTCATACCAACGAACAAGCCAACCAAACCGAACCGATGTGAACAGACCAAATTTGTCGCCGTCGTAATACTTTTGGAGTGGAAAAGTCGGAAAGGCTAAAAGAGTTAACATCAGAAACAGAGGTTTGAACCTCAAACGGCACTCGTAGCTGATCCGTTGACCGTTCAACACGTATGCGATGTAGGTAAATCTGGACCGTCTGATTCTGTTTGAGATGAGTCAATCATTGATTGGGCTTAAAATAACCAAAAGGCCCAAAAGAACATAGCAAACTTTCGCGTGTCCTCCGGACCGACACATTGTTTTTAATTAATTAAAGTAAATTTCTCGTATTTGTTTGGCAAATCTCATCAATTTATATTTTAAAAAAAAGATTACATTTGTAGAAAATAGACTAAAATATACATTTAGCTCATAAAATATAGGTGAGAACGTGAGATAAGTTTAGTATAAGATAAATCCTGAGTTATCTGTTAGTGATTGTCAATTGTTATCTGATAAATTAACCATAAACTAGGATAATAAAATTATTAAACTTAGATACATTCAGATTTAATTTAATAAACAATAAAAATTAATAGTTTTACATTTATTATTAACATCTGTTTGAGTTTTTTTTTTTTTTTTTTTTTTTTTTGGGCAAGAATCAAAGAGACAAAGATACTATGATATAAAAGTATAAAACCATAAGTTTGTTGGGGGTTCTCGTATATTACTGCACGCAAAATCAGTTTGTCCGGCGACTAAAAGACCGAATAGTTTGGTTTACAATCACAAGAGATGAGATCAATACAATTCAAAATCATAACCATCCTCTTCCTCTTCCTCTTCCTCTTCATATAGTTTCTCCCCGTTTTGAAAATTTGTGTTCATGTCGTATGATTCTACATAGCCTTCTTCACCCTCTTCAGCTTCATCCTCATTTTCACCAATCTCAGGCTCATTGCTCTTCTCTTCCTTCTTCTCCTTCTCCATGCCTGCCTCGGTTTTCGACTTCTTGGGTAGATTCTCTCCTGCCTGAAAGAAGAAATGAGAAGAAGGCAAGTTGTATAGTACACCTGAGAAACTGATGAGCGTTACAGAAGACAAAACATCAAACTTACCGATGTGTCAAAGAGTTCTTCCAAGACGTCGTAGTTGATTACCGTTGTAAGTCTCTGTAAGAGTCAAGACTCGAGATCAGGCAAGAGGAAGAAGACACACGAACTCCAACAAGTTTACTCAGAGTTAATAATGCATCACCTTTTTAACAAGCGTTCGGCGAACAGCTTCCATGGCTGTGGCTGGGGGAGCCGCGTTCTTTTCTTCCTCAGCTTTTTTCTGCTGCTTCTCCTATATGAAGAGAGAGAACAGAAGCAGATTTTGATCGAGTATTCTTATGTCATTAATGGCCATAACGTCATTCTCCATAAGTCAGTCAGATACGTGATATGAATCCAGGAACATAATTGCAAAGTTCGAGTCACCTTTCTACTTTGCTTCTTAGAAGCTATAGTAGCTTCGTAAAGCTTTCTTGCATGTTCCGGGCAATTAGAGTTGCTTGCTTTTAAAGCTTCACTAGCAGCCTTAAGAGCTGCTTCCTTGGCCGCTTGCTCCTACAAACAATATAATGCTTTTTCTCATGAGTGATTGATCTCATATATGATAAAAGAAATCCAAGAGAAGATAGATGATATCTAGGCTCTGAAATCACCTCAATATAAACTTTGTTCATTTCTTCCCATACGATCTTCTTATAATGCTTTTCATCCTCGTTGTTAATATAGCCATTTACCTGGTCAAAACTATAATATTATGACCGACAGATCAAATATAACAAGTGAAATTGTATGTTCTATATTCAAGGTTATACATTTGACGTAGCATTTACTACAATGCAAGAAAGCAAACCAGTTACCGACCTCTTCATCATCGATGTCAGAAAAGTTGCCTGATTCATCCGATGTATCAGCATTCTCTTCAGCCCCATCTTTATTTTTTTCACTTTTCTCTGGGGCACAGCACAAAAAGATTCTCAAATGCGCAAATAGATAGGAAAGAACATTAATCTGAAAGACAACACTTGCACTCACCAGAACACTGTTTTTTGCTTTTGTTCCCACTGTAATAGTCTGGTCCTTTCTCTGACTGTTTAAAGTTCGACAAAAGAAAGAGTTTTAGAATAAGAAACTACCAAAGAAAAATTGATTAACCTCCCACACAGGTGATTAGGGTAGGTGGAAAAAAAAAAAAACTGCATCCTCAATTAAAGGAGCACCGAAACTTACATGTTCATCATGGTTAAGGCTACCAATTCCTCCCTCGTTTGCTTTGTCCATTCTCTCTTTCTCTGCGCGCTGGAAAGCAGGGGGATCCGACCCACCAGCAAGTCCACCAGAAACAACTATGAACTGTATAAACATTTTGGGGAAAAAACATCCGATTGTTAACTTTTGGAGCCACTTATCGAGGATTCGCAACTATGTAAACAGAAGACGTGAAAGGAAAAAGCAGGCATTAAACAGGAGACCTACATCTTTGTAACAGTCCTCACATAGTCCATAACCAAAAGGTTTACAATCCTGATGCTTACAGAGCACATCCTCTTTGTTTGATGTTGGTTTCATGGTAAACAATCTTTCCTGCATCTCTTTTTCTCTCTCTGTGAGCTCATCAATCTAGCCACATGTGTATAAACGTTTTAAAATGAACATAATTCTTCAACTGATATGGGACCAAAAAAAATTGAGCCCGTGTTGCATTATTACATACGATAACAATCAATAGCAGTGGACCATATGAACCAGGTACAAATACTTAACCCAACATCAATCATGTGTGATGTGATATGACCAGTTAGCATATAATTCACATCTAGAAACGCTTAGCCTTAACTCACATTTAAATTTCCAGACTCTGTATTGCCAAACTCAATCAGTCGTTTGGTTAGCGTTGCTTCACATATATGGACAATGTTTACCTAAAATAGAAAACAAAGCAAATCAGCAATGAATTAGTGAAATAAAAGGCTAATACATCTTTCCTCTCATCTAAAAGTAGACTAAAACAATAGTTCTTGATAAGCCAACCATATCTTACAATATCTGACTTAGAGCACTTGATACCATGAGAAAGAGCAGCTGTGTAAAGTGCTGCTCCACATATTCCACTAGGTTTCCGGCCGGTCTGCAAGTTAATAGGTAGCTAACATTAGCACAAAACACATATATAACTAACTTTAAGAAAAACGGTACAAAGGAAACTATCATCTAACATAACAAAGTCACACCTGCATCCAATCTCTCTTCATACTAGCTATAATGTTTATAGCTGTTGTCACAACAGCTCTATCATGTGTTCCTTTCAATAAGCCTGCAGATATAAGATGAAATGAGTAGGTTGGATCAAGTATTCAATATAACTGTTTAATTCTTAGCTGATGTTCTGCATCAACCAAATATAGAAAAGAATGGTAGCCAAAGGATGACACACTTACTGTTTGAAAATCGAAGAATGAAAATCGAAGGATCAACAAGCTTTTCATAATTCTGATCGTTCGCAATGTACAACATTTCACATAGTTGCAAGTACACAGAACCTAACTCATAACTGCACAAGATTTGACGAGACAAAATAATAAAATCAGCTTGGACACGAAAAGTCACTGCAGTAGAGGTAACATGTAATTGGACGGGAAAAAAAAGTTGAACAGTATGTAGATAAAAACAACTTAGCATACACGCTAACTCGTAGGTAACTTGAGAAATCAATAAGAAGAAACGGAATGTTCTTTTCCCTACAAATTAAGAAAGTTTTTGGTTAACATATAGCAAAGAAAACATCACTATTTAGCTTGGTATTCTAATGAGGAAAAAAAATCGGAAAAGAACAAGACGATTACTAGGACTCTGACCTGCAAGTCAAGTAAAGACAAGAAGCCTGTACCAGTTCTGTCCTACGGCCCTTAGTGAAATTTTGCTCAACGGCCATCTTCAGAAGATGAAGTGAGTTAAAAAAAAAGGGGGGGGGGGGGGTCGAAGTCCTTACAAATTACTATTCAGAAAATAAGTAAACCAAACATACTGAAAAGAATCGAGCAGCCATGTCAATCAAATCATCTCTCTCATCACCAATTCCCAAGGCATCCCTCAAATTCCTAAACTCATCTCTAGCTGCCAGAAAGAAAACAAAGGTCTGTCAAATCAAACCACACTAATCAAAGATTGCATTAACAAAGCAATGGTTTTGAAACAGTCCATGGCCTCAAATTTGGCAGGAGATTTAAGGATGGGAAATACAGAACAGTGAGTAAACCTAGGCAATTACTGAACTGAAAAACTTGAAATACAATAAAAAGTGAAATGCATTGCGAGGTCAAACATAAGAAAAAGTTGTAGACTAGAAGTGTCAGTTGCAGTATTTAGGCCAACAATGAAAAAAAAGGCATACCTATTCTATTTCTCCTTTCACGTGAGCTTGAGATCCCACTCTGAACACTCCTTACTATATTACCTGACGCTTGGCTCTGCAGATAGAAATAATGTGTAAGCTTAAACCAAATCTTTTCAAAAACTAATCCATAAGGCAGTATAATTCTCAAGTAACTCTCTAGAAATAACTAAAGAGATAGCAGTCGTGAAAAAATCCATTGTCTACTCTATCGATGATATTTCTACTTGTTGTAGCCCATTAAGTTAGTGTTTTCTTCTTCTTTCACGCTGGTAGTTTTGACCTTATAAATGATATGCTCATAACAAAGTTCCGGTCTGAACGAATAAGTTTATACCAGTCGAGGCAAGTATCAAACTTACCGCCAAGAGTATATTAGATATACTCACTGGAATATAAACCAAAACAACCAAACAAAAAGTTCATAACTTCCCATACAACCACTACTGAACATCTAAGCAGAGATAAGGCAAAAATTCCAAGATTCTCCAACAGAAAAATCCCTCTAAACTTACAACCTACTAATCATCTCCAAACCATATGAGACACCAAGAAACATTTCTATCTCTACAGCAGAGGAGCTTGAAAAGAGGTAAACGAAACTAAAGCACTGCTGCTTATACCTGCCCAGCAGCATTCTTTACGAATGTAACATCAGTAGAAAAATTGAAATTCTCCAATATCCTCCCACATAAGTTACATGCCCTGCAAAATTAAAAACATGAAATTCATAATCCAAAGCTTGGAAACCACAAATTCAACAGCAAATAAGCTCCATAAAAACAAACAATAAGATAGAACATCAGTGAAAAATCAAAACACTTACAATCCACCATCGTTGGGTCGTATTCCGGGAACATTCTTCCCACAATGGTTACACCACACCATAGCTCCGTGACTCACAAAGCTCCCAGCTTAGCTACTAATATTGATCCAAAACCCAAGGTTGAGGTTGAGCCGATTCAAAACAACAGCTTCCAGTATTACTGCTCAAGAGAAAGATCAGATTTTTCTGGCGAAACAAACTCCTTTTACACGATCGTGCGAGGCAGTGGGAAGAACTAGGGCTCGGTGGTTTGTTGGTTCACCATGATTACTAATATATATAGCATACCGGTTCTAGTCACGACGACGGTGGCGGCGGAGAAAGGCGAAGCTGAGAGACGTGTTGAGATATTTGCTCTGAAGAGTTAGCAAAAGATCGTGTGCGCTCTTTTCAGAGATAACTGCAAGATCAGCATTTGCTAAGTCGTGTTCGGTTTTGTATTTCCGTTCAGCTCAATTAGACCAAAATATCAGGTTAAACCGGTCAATTGGATCTGGTCCGTTTCGGCTATTGCTAAACCGTAATCGTAAACAAAACGCGCATTGAAGAAGCATTAAAGTTAAAGTTTGAAGATAGAAATTGCCATAACATAAAGACGACAAAAACCTGTAAGTACAACAAATCTTATCTGAAAATATATAAGTTACATAGAAACAAGTAAAAGGGTAAAAACTTAAGCTTCAAGTTTATCGCCTATGGTCCAAGTAATTTCAGAGGTTCCTCTTTCTTCTCAGTGACATTACGATCTGCTGCAGAAGCTCTCAGAGGAGGCTCAAAGAGCTTGCTTGCGACATCAGGAGGCAATGAGTCTTCACCAGGAAGAACAAGAAGCCCTTTCTCTCTTAGAGAAGAAGGTTCATTGTAGCAGATGCTCCACAGTGAATCCACGAGTTGTCTCTCTTCTTTAACAGTTTCGAGATCTTCTTCTGACATCAAGCTGATTCCTTTGATACGTTCTTCAAGTAGCTGTCTCAGCTTCTCATCGCTTTTATCTATGCTGCTACATTCGCATCCATCATTTTTCTCTCTAGCAAGCTCAAGCAGTCCACGAAGAGCGGCTTCCCTGGTCTCAGAGTCATCACTAGACGCGAGATGCATCATCACTCTCGGAAATCCAAGTCCAGTGGCAATACTGCGGTCTGACTCATCCTCTTGCAGTAGGTATTGCAACAAGTTTAAGGCTTTCCTGGAGAATTTGGAATAAAGTAAAGAAATAAGCATCAATTCAAGAATCTTCCAAGCTTTTAAATCTACAGAGACATAAAGGAGTCAAGAGTATTTGTGTGGTTTACCTTTGAAATCTCACACTATCAGACGCTAAGGCTTCTCTTAGACCAGCATAGCCATTGGCAAGCTTGAAAGCTGTGACTCCGGGCTTGTTATGGCGAATCAAACCTACATGCCATATTGAAAAGGTGTACCTTTAGTATATCATAAACCAAGTAAAATAGAATCACAAAAGGTTTCAATCATCTCGATCTCTACTGTAAAATATCACAAGTTGGCTTACATGATATCGCGCCAAGAGCTTGGGTTCGAGCATGAATATCTGTGTCTGAAGTGAAGTTTGAGAGCAATGACTCCAAACCATTGACTTCCATAACTAACTCCTGGCTTCTAGGATTGTTCTGAACTATTGTGCTTACAACATCAGCAGCTTTTGCCCGAATATTCGCATTAGAGTTTTTAAGGAACCCAAGAAGAGGAACCAAGCCTCCAATAGAATGAAGATCTACACAATAGTAAATTAGCAATTAGCTAACTGTGCCAACCACAACAGAAAAAGGGTAAATAAAAAAACTTGTTCCAAGTAAGAGATAGTTTACCATTAGCCATATCGATAGATTCAACGTGCTCCTGCAACTCCTCCAGCAAATCTACCAGAATAATAAAACTCAATTAGTACCCCAGAAGACAACAAAAGATAAAGGCCTAAACTATGTTTTATGGCCAAAAATATCACCTTGGATATCTTCAGGTGTTACTCCATGTTCCACCAAAACTTGTTCAGGTGTTTGCATAACTAGTGTTATCTCCTTCATGCGCTTGACTATATCTACAGTCTGCGACTGCATAGCCTCCATAAACCATTTTCGATCCTCCTCACTGTCTCATCAGACGAATCAATCAACAAAACAATCCAAACTAAACACCAATCATAAAATAGTCTATGAGTAAATGCTGAATTCGCTTCAGCTTAACAGAGTTTAATGGAGATGTAGACAAGTGATAACGAGAAAAGAAATAGCCTTTTCACCTACATAGCTACAGGAGTCGATAAATGCATCCAACAAAACCCATAAAGTGAACAGATAACACCTATATTACACGTACCCAGATTCGAAAACACTCATAAGATTCATCTCCTCAAGTGAAAGCTCAATCACATTCAGACAGATTTCTATAACTACCAGCATCCCAATTCAATCTTGGACAAAACGAAACCTAAGAAACTAAAAACGTAGTTCGTACCTCAACTGGCGAGTGGGTCGAGTGCCGTCGGCGTGAGAGAGACTCCATTTAAGCAACCCGTCCCAATTGGGTCCGTCTTTCGCCATTGGAGAATGTTTTCACCGTCTTAGAACAGAAGATGGAGAAAGGAATTACCAAAGGAAAAAAATCGAAACTTTATGACCTCCGTCTTTGTAATGATAAGGAAGTAGAGTCGGCTAATCGGTAGTTTGGTTTTATAAAAGACCTGAGATGATTCGCGAAGCTACTACAACATTCTTAAACCTCGTCGACCTCTTGAAGAGAAAAGCAGAAAAGCGAAGACGATGACGCGTCTTCCACTTTATTGAACCTTTATTTAAGATTGAAGCCCAATATGAATTATTTGGGCTTTAATAGACTCAAGCCGGTACTCAAACCGTCCAAATCAAGTTCTCTGAATTTTCCTTTTTAAAACAAAATTACTAGCATTGACAAAATTACCTTTGACTTTGGACTTTGGACTTTGGACTTTGGAGCATTGTGAACGCTACTTCCACTCGAAATATAAACGACCAAGAAATACTATTTTGGAGCTTTGTATAATGGATTAACCAAAAACCGACGTGACGACAAATCACACTCACAACTGAATCTCCTTTCTATTTCTACTAGTCTTCATATGGCGTCTTTTTTTTTTTTTTTTTTTTGTCGTCTTCATATGGCGTCTTTGTTCTCTTCTTTTTCCTGTTTCGTATGTCCCGTCCTGAAATATGTTACTTGACTCTGTTCTGAAACAGAGACAAAGAAGATGAAGCCTGAGGAGCAAGAAAGGGACATATTGTTTCCAACAGATGACGAGGAATGCCAAGTCGATGTCTCTTGCGAAGATGAAGATGAAGATGATGATTCCGGTTCATCTTCATTATCCCAGCACGATTCCGCTCCATGGCCTCGGAGTTATCGGTAATCAAAATCCTCTGTTTTTCAATATAAAAAGAAATAGTGTGAAGGGTTTGCAATAGTATTATCTCCTTTTTTTTTGTGGAAAATTCAGTCAATCTGTGGATATCTTGACCGGAGTTACACCTCCTACAATCAGCTTCATTCATCGGAGAGGTTCTCAGACATCATTCACCAGCTCTGTCGCCTCCTTATTCAAGAGACGACAAAACTCCATTCTAAATTCCTTTGCATCCTCCGCAAGCAAACAACCGTTTCTCTCCGAGAATGACGATGATGACTCAATCAGATCATTCGTTTCATCGCAGCTCAAGTTATCCATCACCGATCTCTCGTACACAGAACCAGATCTCTGCTCGTTTCCTCAATCTGTTCTCAACGGTAAGCCGTAGTATCGGTATTGCTTCTGTCTCAAAAGTCTTTCACACATAACTAATTTAGGACAGGGGCATGAGAATGGTAACTATATAGCACGATAGTCGATAAAGATTAGGCTTTCGGTTCGGCTCACGCTGTTAACATATTATACCATTATTACAAAACTTATTTGAAGCTGTCTCTCAATGTTGAACCTATTATTGAGCAGGAATCAATATCCTATGTGGAGTAGGTCTACTCACAATGCCTTACGCGGTGAAAGAAGGAGGATGGGTTGGTCTTTTCATACTCTTCTTCTTCGGTATCATCACTTGCTACACCGGTATTCTCCTCAAACGATGTCTTGAAAGCTCTCCTGACCTCCATACCTACCCGGACATTGGTCAAGCTGCCTTCGGATTCACTGGCCGCCTCACCATCTCCGTGAGTTATATGTTATTCATTTACATAGACACTTAAAAACATCTCCGAACTAAGAGAAGGGTTCTTGATCTCTTGGTCATTCGCAGATACTTTTGTACATGGAGTTATACGCATGTTGTGTGGAGTATATATCATGATGAGCGATAATTTGTCGAGACTTTTCCCCAACATTTCACTAAACATCGTTGGAGTACCTCTAGATGCTTCTCAGATATTTGCCATATCAGCTACTCTTGTTGTTCTTCCGACAGTTTGGCTCAAAGACCTTAGCTTACTCTCCTATCTCTCAGGTTTCATTATTCTCTATATATAAATAATCATATAGCCTTACCAAATAGCTTGGAGATGTTCGTTCCTTGTTTAATACATGTGTTCTGTTCTCTTAGCCGGAGGAGTCTTCTCTTCAGTCATGATGGCTCTTTGTCTCTTCTGGGTCGGGTCGGTTGATGGAGTTGGGTTTCACCCAGGTGGACAAGCTCTTGATCTCGCTAACTTACCCGTGGCGATTGGGATTTTCGGGTTTGGGTTCAGTGGTCACGCGGTTTTCCCAAACATTTACTCTTCCATGAAAGATCCATCCAAGTTTCCTCTGGTGCTTCTCACTAGGTTAAAACACTCTTTGCTTAACTAAGGTTACTTAGAGTGGACGTAAATAATGTTAGGTTAAAACACTCTTCGTTTCTTCTTTTGCAGTTTTGGTTTCTGCGTATTCTTGTACATAGTCGTAGCGATTTGTGGCTACAGTATGTTTGGTGAGGCCATTCAATCGCAGTTTACACTAAATATGCCACAACAGTTCACGTCATCCAAAATCGCAGTTTGGACAGCGGTGAGATATATATAACTTTCAAACTTGATAGAACATGTTTGTCTCTATCTGTATTACTAAAATTTGGTTGTTTCTTTCTCTTTCTCTCGCTTTAGGTAATAACACCAATGACCAAATACGCATTATCTATAACACCGATCGTGCTAAGCTTAGAAGAACTTATGCCGTCGTCAGTGAAGATGAGATCCTACGGAGTATCTATCTTTTTTAGAACGATTTTAGTTCTCTCAACTTTGGTCGTCTCACTTACATTCCCATTCTTTGGTAATGTACCCTAACATCTCTGTGCATGCAACTATGCACAAGAAAAAAACAATATTTATCTTCATTTGTTCTAATATCTTTTGCAGCGGTCATGGGGGCTTTGATGGGATCATTCCTCGCAATGCTTGTGGTAAGTCTCCTATCATCGATTTATATGACAACGATAAAGGAATAATATGTACTTGATAAAGATTAGTTAAACAAAAAGCTACATATTTCATCAGATCTCTAAAATACATTTTCTTAAGAACATATGATAAGACTTTTTTAAAGCTTTGTAGTTGTTATAGGCATTATCAAACATGTTAAAAAGGATTCGTATTTTGTTTTTCTTGTGCAGGCTTTTATCTTTCCCTGTCTTTGTTATCTCAGCATCTTGAAGGGTAGATTGAGTAAGACACAAGTAAGAGACAGATTAATTTGTTTTGTTTTATGCCTTGCCTTAAAGTTGTTATTGTTTCTTTACAAATACAACATGACAATTACATTTTAATTTTTTCTCGTAAATTATTTGCTCTCTTGGCAGATTGGAATATGCGTTTCCATCATCATCTCTGGCATTGTAAGCGGTTGCTGCGGGACTTATTCCGCCATTGGAAGATTAGTAGGAGAATTGAGTTGAATGGTGCTTTTTTTTTTTTTTTAATGCAGTTAGTAAATTAAGTTTTGAAAATTTAACAGAGTAATCGAGTTTGTAAAACGAGACACTGATTTTAATACATTAATAAAGTATGTTTTGACTTGTAATCATCTTTTCCATTGAATGAATTTGTATATCATGAGTATAACTTGTAAGAGATAATCATTAAGTAATTGCAAGCTATGATGCCTTTCATATGAAAACTCCGTCATGCTGATGGTATCCACACAATCTATCTCGAAAGCAGATTATACAAATAGCTTTTCAAGTATACGATTAGCTAATTTATGATTGGTTGAATACCTTGTCATTATAAAAAGGTTTTACAGCATTTCCAACACTTTTTGTTTCAATTTTTACTCAAATTAGCGTAATTTCATTTCATATCAAACTATATTCCGTTTTGAACTCTAAAAATTTAGTAAATAGGAGATCTCTAAAAATAATATAAATGATGAATGATTCTCTCCATAACCTGTCACATGGCATGCCATTAAATAATGTTGAACATATGATAACTTAAACGTCTAATATTTTTTGAAGAATAAATATTATTTTGGTGAGCATATATATCATCAGAAAAATATTATTTATATTTATTTATAACTATTTACGATAAGCACTAATTACGGACGTCTATAGAGCATTTGATCTTGTTATATACTTATATATATACGAGGTAGGGTGTGCAAGAACCACGTTGGAGTTAATTATGTCAATATAAATTATTATATTTGGAAAATAATTTATGTTATACTATATATGGGCATTGTTAAGGAATCGTCATTACATTTGGTATAGGTTATGGACTGTACAAAGATAACACAAACACCAAGTATTCCACATATAAACTATGAATAAGCATTATGGCTAAACAAATTTGTTTTGGTTAAATTATATTCAAAATATGTCAAACAATATATATATTTCTTTTTGATAAAATTCAAAAGTTTTGACAAAGCTATTGCTCAATTCATTGTTATTGGATTTAATGAATACAATTAAAGGTATGTATATTCTTATCCTTTTAATTAATTAAGTACCATTAGGATGTCGTGGTTGGTTTTTTTGTGAGATCACCTCAAAAAATTAGAGTTTGGTCTCATATACTTATGTGTGGCAGCAAGAAAGATGGGTTACATCCACAATCTCACTATCAATAACTATATCAAATCCAACATCTACCAAACTATATACAACTTATGATTAAAAATACACTTTTTTTTAATGATTAGTGTTAACAAAACCAAAATAGCCATTATGAAGTTTGAGAATTTAGGTCATATATGTTGAATACTATGGGTTTCTTAGTGCAAACAGTTTGGTGTGTAAATTTTGTACTAACAAATATAGATGAGCGCATATTAGTAATTTTTTTATATAATTATGATAAATGATGGTATATTTGATGTTATATCATAAAAAACTGTAAACATAAAAAGAAATTTGAGAGAGTGATCAAGTTTTGTGGATATTATATTAGGAGTAATTTTTTTTAATTCAATAGTAAAATTCTGTTTTAATTTGTGAGCTTGTTTTTTCGTTGAAAGAAATAATATCTATAAGAAGAATAACTAAAGAAATAATGCTCATTGTTCTTAGGAAGATAACATGAAGTCTTTTGAAGCCATTATGATAGTTCCAATTAAAATATTGATCATTTACATAACTAGATTAACTAAGAGAAATAGAGTATTACAAAACTAGAACATCGAACAATGCATATCTCTTAAGCTTGAAGTTCTGATCGGTTGAACGGCTAATTAAAAAGCGTCTTAAGAAAGATGTTAATTTAATTTCAAAGATAGTAATAGAAATAGACTAATACTAGTAAATTAGTAATAGAGAGGACTGGAGGGTAAACTTAAAAATGAAGGGGCAAATACGAAACGATAAAATAAAAAAGGAGTCAATGTAAATACATACTAATTAGGTGGGGAGCTTTCGAGTTCGAGAGAGAGAGAGAGAGGCATTAGTTAGAGATATCTCCAAAATCGTCGACAACTTCAGACGTACTCCAACAACAACAACAACAATCGATAAAGCTAAGGGAAAAAAAAGAGAGGTTAATTTAATTTAAAATCCACTCGCCGGAGACGCCGTCGTCTCGACGCCGGTGCTCCAAAATAAATAAAAAATGAAACGGAAAGGTGTCGGATTTTCTCTTCCGGTCACGGTGGTGATGTTGGTGATCGGTTTTATCTACTTTTCCTCGGTTTTCACTTTCATCGATCGGTGGTTCAGCCTCACGTCCTCTCCCGGAGTCGCTAACGCCGCCGCGTTCACCGCTTTGGCTCTGATGTGTGTCTACAACTACTCCATCGCGGTTTTCAGGGATCCGGGTCGGGTTTCACTCAATTACATGCCAGATGTTGAAGATCCGGAGAGTCCTGTTCACGAGATTAAGCGCAAGGTCATCTCTTTCTCTTCCAATTTAGCTCGTTCTCTGTTTCTGAATAGTCAATTCCGAGATTGTTGGTTTGGGAATTTCGATATTGTTGTGATTAGTTTTGATCATTTCAATGTCAGAGAGATTTGCCATTATCTCTGCTTTAGTCCTTTCCCATATTTGCCAAATGCCCTTTTCCGGTTATGGACAAATCTAACAATTCTTTGGATTTTGTCTGTTATTTAATTTCTCAGGATCTGGATAGTCCATGGTGTGTAGTCGTTTTCTGTATATATCAATTCAATGTTTAGGCTAATATAGATTGACTAGAATGGTGTGAGCGTGTTGACCCTCTTTAAGATATTTTGTTGGCTTCCAAGAGAACTTTCAATTTTTCAAATTTGTTCCTTGCTTCTAATTATCTTTGGGATTGCATAAAAAATTCATCTTTTGGCTATATTGAGGTTTTAAGATTCCATATGTAAGCTCATGTTTTGAGGCTTTGGGATTCACTTGCAAATCTGTTCTTAGATCTTTCTTGGAAAGACCACTTATGAAATTTTGCTTCGCTACTTGCTTTGGTTATGTTATTTGCAGGGAGGAGATTTGAGGTACTGTCAAAAGTGTTCACATTTCAAACCTCCGCGAGCTCACCATTGTCGAGTTTGCAAAAGATGTGTGCTTAGAATGGTATGCTCTACTGAACACTTATGTTACTTGCCAAGCTGAACATCTAATCGCCCAAACCCATGTGATATCTTGTTTAACCAGTTTTCTTTGATTTGAAGGACCACCATTGTATTTGGATCAATAACTGTGTAGGACACACTAACTACAAGGTCTTCTTTGTCTTTGTTGTATATGCGATGACTGCATGTGTATACTCCTTGGTACTGTTTCCCAACTTCTGTTAGCTCAATGTGTATGAGCTTAGTATATGAGATTTTTATATATATTCCTTGATTGTTTAGGTTTTGCTTGTGGGAAGCCTTACTGTTGAACCTCAAGATGAAGAGGAGGAGATGGGAAGCTATCTAAGAACTATATATGTAATGATTGCTATTGATGTATTATTTTGAAAACTACCAACAATTGTCATTTTGCTTATAGTTATGTGTTTTTTCAGGTACTTTCAGCTTTTCTACTTATCCCATTGAGCATCGCATTAGGTGTTCTTCTTGGGTGGCACATCTACCTCATTTTACAAAACAAAACGACTATCGAGGTTGTTCTTTTTCCTTTCTCTTGTGTTTTTGGTTTCACTTCTTCAATTGCTAAGTTACGGATCTTTAGCTGAGTTAGGCTTTGTTCCTCTGTTATTCATTTTGCCGAAATTGAGCAGTACCATGAAGGAGTGAGAGCTATGTGGTTAGCAGAGAAAGGTGGGCAAGTCTATAAGCATCCATATGATATCGGCGCATATGAAAACCTAACCTTGGTAATAATCCTTATCTTCTTTGGAGGATCAGTGTCAGTCAAATGTTTATTCTTGATTAAGTTTTAACTGTTTCTTCTTCAGATTTTGGGTCCGAACATACTTTCTTGGCTGTGCCCTACATCGAGGCATATTGGTTCTGGTCTGCGTTTTCGTACAGCTTTTGATTCAGTCCCTGCTTCATCTGAAACAAAATCTTAGACAAGAACAAAACAGATATTCCCTTTATCTCTGGTGAGTTCCATCGAAAAGTCAGCAGATTTTTAACTTCACAGCACGGTGGCTAGGTCGTTTTCAAGCATTTTAGCTGCCCCAGCTTGGAACCAAGACTAACCCATCGGTAGCAGACTCTGCTTGACAAGGTTCTCTATCTTTCATCATTGTTAACTGGATCAAGAGCATCCGTTTGTGAATTATGGTATCAGTTAGGTATCTTCCCCTGTTTTTCTTTGGATTCCCCAAAAAGGAAAAGTAAGTTAGGTTGTGGATACAGAACTCAAAAGCTGATTATGCTTTTTATACATACCACTTAACAGGTGAAAAGACATCATTGTAAGATAATTAAAGGTTTTCATATATATTCTTATTAATCAGACAGTTCTCATTCTCAACATATGTTTTTAACTGTTAATATATATAGAGAATTATAGGTAGTAAGCTCTTTGTTTACATAAGAAATAAGCCAAGAGAGTATTGCAAAGAGTTTTTATGAGTTGTGAGAAGAAGAAGAAGATTATCAAAATTAGAGAGGAATATCTAGCCCTTTCCCAACTTCAACACCAATCAACTGAAGTATTCCTTTGTTCAGAATCTGGAAGAACAAGGAAAAAGGGACATCTCTGTTTAAGTTAGCATGTCTATATATGCAACTTCCACAGCTATTGAAACTCACCAGCTCAACAATGAAGGATCCGATGAGACCAATCATACAAGCTCTGGAGTTCCATATTTCAGCTGTATATGTGAATCCCTGAAACGCTGGCTTGAATTCGGGTTTCCTTTTTGGTACTATCATCTTCCCAACAAAAATTTAACCATACAGAGATTTATGAGAAAAAGGAAAAAAACCACAACAACTTCAGATATGATGATGTGTCGAGAGTGTTTATATTTACCCCTTCAGGGAGTTTTGCGGCGCGAACACGGAGAGACGACGACTGTTTCTGGGAGAACCAGAGAGTTGTTTGGCTCGGACAATTGCTATGAGTAGACAACTTCCAAGGAACTGTTAAGAAAGAGGACGACAATGGCGTCGAGCTCACCATTCTTTTTTTGTCTCAGGCGAAGAAAAAGATGAAGATGAAGTTAATTCTGTGGATGTGCTGTGTCTGAAGATGCTTTTATATGTGCCTGGAGTTCGTTTCCTTTTACATTGCGCCACGTGTCTTATTTTGGTACTAATCTGTAATACAATTTTTTCATATCGTTAGATAAATAAATTGACCATGACATAAAAGCATCTAAGTAAGAACTTTGAGTTCGAATTTTGTATTTAATGGCGGTCGTCGTCTCCGTCCAGCGTCCTTATGCAACACTGTTGATCTCTGAAAACCCTAATCAACTTAAACTTCACCAGATATCCTATAATTCCCACCTCAGATTTCATCATCTTGCTTTAAAAACCAAGCCGCAGGTCCGTTGCTTATCTGCAAAATCGACGCCTTCGAATCCAGAACCTGAATCCCCTCAAGGTCTCTCTTTCTTCTTATCCCAAATTTGGGTCTTTTATTTTTCTTTTGTAACTAATTGGTTGGGTTCAGAATCAGATGGAGAAGAGGAGGACAGTGTGGGAGTCAAAGCAGCTTTGGCAATGCTGAAATTCTATAAGAGTAATCAAAACCACTCCTTTTGCAATTCCTCATCTACTTCTGAAATTTTGATTGTTTATCGCATCGTTGATGGCGTTTTCCGGTGAAATACAGGAGAGATATCGCCGGTGTTACCTAGAAGCTGCCGTTACGTTCCGACTTGTAGCGAATATTCCATGGAAGCTTACAAGAGATATGGAGTTCTCAAAGGCACTGTCCTTACCACTTGGCGACTCTGCCGCTGCAATCCTCTTGGTGGTTCTGGATTCGATCCTCCGAGATGGTTTGGTGAGAATGTGATCAATCCCCAAGAAGAAGGAGAAGAAGAAGATAACTATGAAGATGAGGATCAAAGACAGATTTTTTGAATAAATGTATGAAAAACAATGGAAGTTGTAAACTAATACTAGGGAAAACGACGTAGAAAAAGTTTGTTGTTACTACGAGGGAATAAGAATTACAACATCTGTTTCCAAAAAAGATTTGTTTTGAAGCGCTACATTTTAAGTAGACAGATCTTGGAATTGCCATGGGTTGAACTCGATCGACTTAGGGTCGGTGTTATCTTCAGAGTTATCCGCAGCTGCACGATGTTCTGAGTACTTTCCATTGAATTGGTAAACTTCAAGATCACCCCATGGTGTAGGAGTGACTTCTTCCGTTATATCAAACCATTTTGGAGTAAAGCCTTGGCCTTTCTCTTCACGGGTTCTCTTTTCAGCTCTCTGTCTCTCTTCCATGCTGTATTGCAAAGATGAGCGATATGGATTAGAAAATTCTCAATTTATCCTGTACTGAAATTTGAGATCCTGAAGGTCAAATTTTTGTCACCAAACCTGCTCTTTTCATAGCCGGATTTGGACATGTCGCCCATCTCGAGTGCGTATCTATCAGGGCGTAACCGTGAATCAGACGGCAACAGCTTTTTAGGGGCAGTATCAAAGCTGTTGATCTTGTGAGCAAAGTGTGTGTATTGGTATTTGTCATCCTTTGGAACATCAGCGAGTTTCCATACCTAAGTACAAAATATAGCATCAGAATGTCTCATCAAACTGATATATTTTGCAAAGAGGATTTGAGTCCATGACAGAGAGACATATTGCGAACCTCTTTCAGGTCGGTGCCTGGGAGAGGTTCACCTTCACCGTCACACGGCTGATAACTCATGGACTCGTTCCATTTGCCAGTCATGAGTATCTTAGGCTCCTCAGACGCGTTATAGACATATCCATCCACTTCATATCGACCAGATCTGTTGAGACCATGAAAGCACATGGCTTCAGCTGCGAATGGAATATATTCAACAGGACAATGAGGATGCAGTGAAGGAAATTTACCCGAACCAGCCACATGGTTGAAAGTAAAGCACGACTTTGTCACCAGTGGTCAGGTTTGTCATGACCATTTCCCCAGGCGAATCAACCCATGTTCGTCCAAAGATTAGGTTGTGAACTTTAGTTAGAGGAGGTACCAAGTCAAGAACAACTCCATCTCTTTTAAGTGTCACTCGTGTCCTGCAACATAGATACATGGCATTTAAGGGTTCAGGGTAATGTACAAATGAAGAATCTGAATTGCAGTATATATAGGTTTCGCAAAATTACCTTCCTACCGGGTAAACATCAATGGAATTTCCCAGAAATTTTGTTTTGAGTTTGGAAGTGCAATCATATGTAAAATGCTCATTTTCAGCGTGACCAGCACTCATTGGTGGGTGATGGCTGACCTGAGAACGAAACCATTGGTATCAAGAACCTGGGAAAAATTGGCAACTAGAGAACGTTGACAACTGTTTAAGTTCTAAAAGAAATGGGCCTGACCTGTTCAGAAATGAAGTTAACACCATTGTAATTAGCCATCTCATAAGTCTCACCAAGGATTGGATTGAATGGTTTCCAGGTACGTTGGAAAGCATAATAGACAGATATAGCCCATGATGCTGTTAAAGATCAATTCTTAGAATTTAGTCACACAGGAAAGAAACTACATGAACAGAGACCAATCATAGCAGAAGTCAAGGAGATGTGCTTACATGCATACACCATGCGCATATAAGGGTCCTCGGTTTTGTCTGCCATGTCTAACAGATGCGAGTATTCCATCAACTATCAGAAACAGAGCACATATCATCGGCATCATCGGATAACAACACAACTATGAGTCAGGAGGGAACAAATCATCAAATGTTGTGGTGAGCACAAACCTCTGCCATTTTCTGGAGCATTGTCATTGGTTCAAAAATAATCACAGGAAGGGTCACCATTGATGTAACATCAGATCCTATGTACTTCTGCATCATCTTCCAATAGCCATCACGATCCTGCGAGTGGTGTATATTTCTCAGATGGTTAGACAACAGTTATGAGTTATGAAAATAAGAACAACAAGGGTAAATGAAGAAAGTGTATATACCTCTTGCTTCCATCTTCCTCTGCTGGCTTCCTCCTCTGCATCATCCGTACTTCCTTCGGGATTGATGACTTCAAGCCCCTCATAAGGAACCAAACTGAGAAGTAAATCAAAACACAACGAATCACTCAAAAGAGCTAAACTTTATGCAAAAATCCCAGTACAGAAGTGATACAAAGTTCTCCAGCCGTGTGAATCAAGCTCTAGTCTAACATCAATTCCATATGAGCAGACTTGGCAGAAATAAAACTCTAACGCTATAACAAGATCTGAACATTAACAAGTTGATTAAAAAATATTTCAGAAGAACGGAAAAGAAGAAGAAAAAAGCAAACCAAAAAATTTCCAGTTTTTCAAAATCTAAGATTAAGAATCTAGCTGAGTGGCAGCTCCGGGTTTAAGAGAAGGGATGTCAAAAACCTCACCCATTAACTGATTTGGTCATAACAGATCCCAAATTGGAGATTGAGGAAGCAAGAGAAGCGAAGAAACCACTTCCTCCGCCACCGCCACCGGCTTTTTTAGGATCATTAGGAGCCATCTCTCCGCCGCGGATCCGCCTACACTATGAGCTCCGGCAAAGAAAAAGTCGAGAAAGAGAGTGAGAGAGAGAGAGAGAGAGAGAGAGAGAGAGAGAGAGAGAGAGAGAGAGAGAGAGAGAGAGAGAGAGAGAGAGAGAGGCGTCCGTTGAAATCGAATTGGGTTTGTTTAAGAAGGAAGAAAGCAAAGAGAAGAGATTCGTCAATAATGGAAGACCAGCGATGGAGACGATGCAGAGGATTTAGGATCGTGTGCTGTGCTGGACCCGCTGGTCTTCGTTGGCACTTGTTTTAAATTCGTTTTTAACATTAGCAAAACCGGTTCTTCGATTAATAATCTTAGTTCTTAACCAATCAAATTCAATTTAAAAATAATCCAAACCGACCGGTTCAAATTTATTTGTTGATTTATCTATCGCCTTCTCATAATAAAGGTATTCGTCATTGATGGCGTCACCGATTGCAACCTCCTTCAAATTGAACTCCTGCTCTCTTTGTGGCAGCAGTCATTGAATTCTTTTTGTTTTTATTAGCATGAAACTGAACATAACTCTAGTATAAATGCAGTCTTGACTGTTGGAGTACAATTCTAATTCGCTTATGAGTTTTGCTACCAAACGTACGACCATTAATATACAATTTAGTCTATTTGATAACATATGTTAAGAAGTTGATGAGGAGTAGTGAGCTCTAACGTATATAAACAGTCAAAATGAGTTAGCCGGAAAATATTAATTACTCGAGATTTGGGGCCGAGACTAGCTAGCTACTGTAGTATTATTAATAATGTCAATTACATTGTACCATTAAGTTAAACTTAATTCATTTTCCATTAACAACTATAAAGCAAACATCATATATATATTTCTAATATATATGTTTCTTTGGACGTACGTGTATGTCATTTACAAAGATTGTTGGTGAAATTAACCCAAATTAACAAGGAAACAAATGTCAATACATCAATGATAAGGGTAGCAATAATATGTACACATGCATACCTTTCGATACAAATCTGAGCCACGAATCCATTTTGTAATAGACGGATTCGAGATTTTGATCCATGTACGTTTCAAGGCTTGTTCTCCCTTGATACAATGCAATCGATATATATGTGAGATTTGATCATTCAGAGTTTACGTTTTCTTCTTCTCCACAACACTTTGGCCTAACCGAAGCTCTAGATCCAAGCCTCCAATCTCACCATGATGACTCGAACTCGAACCATCTATGCTAACCTCCGTGACCTTTCCGTTATCACTAGTACCAAACTTGCTTTCTTGAACCCAAAACCCTACTTTCTGATTAGGGCTTTTATCTCTGTCAACATCTTGATCATCACATGTCAAAGCCTTTTCTTGTTGTTGTTCGTTGAGGTCTAGAGAGACAACTTCTGATGAATCACTCTCGGCGACGACCACATCATCATGATCCTTATTATCTTCCATAAGCTTTTGTCTCAGTTTAGCTCTGTCCCTTCTGTGGATGTTCATATGCCCTCCTAGTGCTTGAGCATTTGAGAAGCCTCTTATGCAGAAACTGCATATGTATGATCTTGACTGGTTCAGGGAATCAGCAACGCTTTGGTGAGTACTGTTTCTCGATATGCTGTCCGTACAATCATCTAGGTTCTTAGGGTTTTTGATGTTTTCCATATAATATTTGGAACTTGTTCCGTACGTAGAATACAGAGAAAGATGATCAAAGATTGTGAAAATTTAGCAGAAGGAGAAGGAAGAAGTAAAGAGAAGAGAAGAGTATATTTCACAAAGACATGATTTAGTCAACTCCAGCGCTGCTTTGTTTTTTTTTTTTTTTTGGGACCAAAAAATTAATTAATCAACACTTCTAAAATTATAATTAATCAAAATCTACCACCAAGGGTCCAAGACAAAACAGTGAAAACAACTTAATATGTTATTCATGAATAATTTAGTTGTTTATAATTAAAAATTATTTCCACACATGGAAAAAAACTAAAAAACATTATCGCAACAACCAATACAAAATTAAAAATCTACACAATTTTTCTATATAATTTTCGTTAACATGAAACAAATTTTATATTTTAATTTCTGCTTCAGTTTTCTTAAAGAGAATATTCGTATACGTAAGAATAATTGTAAAATGTGGTTGTTGTAAAAGACCGTATTGTAGCTGGAATATATTACTCTTATACACCATTAACAAAAGAGAAAGAAAAAAAATTACTCTATGATAACCACTTAATTAGTATATATGACAGGAACAGAGATCAGCAGCCTTTCAAGTTTCAACTTTACAAAAAGACACAATTAACTTCAATGCTTAAAAATACATTTAATCATTTCTATTTATTTCAAGAAAATTGACTATTATATTATTGGCTTTTAATCTTTTGCTCTCAGTAATTATTATTTTTAAGGATTTATTAGTTTTGGTTTATTAAAAAACAATAGATACGCAGTTGACAAAAAGGTAGGATCCAACACAGCATTTTGGCGTTTTGTTTTTGTTTTTTGCGCAATTAGTAGTTTGTTGAAACACATCATCAACTTTGTTTTTGTTATTAGCATTATTTTAACATGTGCTTTTCCTGAAATTATCAACACTTATACCAGTATTGGACATCTTTGAGAAGTGAATAAATCTACAAAATCATTAAAATATTCATATTAATATTGACTGGCTCGTTTTAAAGCCAGATCCAGAGTACTTTTGAATGTGTATGTACACCATATTTACTAAAATCTATGTTTTCTTTATTTCTTGTAATGAGTCACCAAACTGAAACTGAATAAACACAGTTAATTAATTTAATTGAATAGTCGAATCAAAATGTCAAATGGCTCAAAACATAAGTCCAAACATATATGTCAAAAGCAATGAACGACCCTTGATGAATAGATAAAACTATGTACTTGTGATCATTCTATATATTCATTATTTTGTAGTATAGATTAGACAAAAAAAATGGTTAGTTAGAGTTACTTGTTTAGGTATAAATAACAAATCATAACTGATTCAAAGATACAAAAGAGTCGTTGCCATTAATTGAAGTATTGAACTTTTCAATAATTTTGTTTTATTAGTATGTATGTTGACGGAAAAAAACGTTAATTAGTATGAAATTATAATTTACAAAGACACCTAGTTATTTAAACTAGTATAGAATGTGCTGGTTATTGCATATATAAATAGCTCAACTTATTCCATATTCTGAGTTGTCCGTGGGTGAAATTGCAGAAAAAAAAAGAGAGTATAATAGTGATGACCTACTTATTAGTGAACAAACAAGTAGCTATAGTAGTAATTTCAGTAAGCCTTAGGGACTTATTAGTAGATGGATTTAAAATAATGTTTACAAGTAAATCTATTGCTGTACTTGTACTTAATTAATATATTGTGCTAGTTTTTGGTCGGCATTTTAATTATATAATTAAACACGGAGAATAGGACCTTCCACTTGTAAATGGGCTCTTTACCATGTCATGTATGATTTTCAATAACTTGTTTCTTTCTTGGTTTTTCCAAAGTCAGAGAACCGTCTGATACACTCGGCCGGTAATACATTTTCTAAATATATATATATACGAATGTATACGTATGACTAAACAACTAAAACCTTCAAAAAAATAAAAGAACAAGCTCTAATTAATTACAACTAAAACTCCTAGTCTTTTTTTTTTGTCGACTCTAAAACTCCTAGTCTTCATAATTGGATTAGACAAAAAGGTTGGTAGTGTATATAAGTAATACATGCATGTGCATGTGCACGTGCGAAGTAAGCATTCTATGTATATATATACTAATACGTTCAGTATGGATATACATCTTGTGTGTGTGATAATATGATAATGATGTTAAATTTAAAAGGAAGAAAAAAATTAACCTCTTGATGATGAAGTCAGATATCGTGTCTCCGTGTGTGTACGTATTGTAAGTGAGGAAGAGGTAATCCGCATCCCGAGGACTAAAAGCTACACTAACACGCGGGCGTAAGCATATTTCTTTGGATTAGTTTAAGCTTTAAACCTCAGGATGCAGATTACCCGATCCTCACCAATACTTATCATCTTCACCTCACGATGCAAGTTCTGGCTTGATCATGGTTTAATGTGTCGTTCTTAATTTCTTCTTCTTGTCTGTATAATTTGGTGAGAAGTCACTAAGGAAATGTGAGAATTTATAATCCCTCGTGAGGCTAAATAGTAATGAGAAGATATGCTTATTCGAAAGGTTTAATGCTATGAGAACATATGCTCTAATGGAAAACAAAATCTTGTTGTTCATGTTTTATTTGTGCATCCGTATGTCTTCTTGGCTATTTTTTCATATATGATATTATGTATCATATTTTGTTCTAGATAATTCCTTAGAGCTATATATATGCGATCTAGATTTTGTACTCTTTAACTTTATTATGGTGTTCTTTAAGAAACAGTTTATATATACATCTATGATCGGAACTCAAATTTATCTTGAGGAGCATGCACTTACAAAGTGATTATGCGTGCGGTGTCCAAATTTGGATACGGAACATAATCTTCATTTTCCTCCTCATATATAACTTTCCAAGAAATCTAAGCAATAATGCTCAAGAAAGAGTTACATGGACATGAATCCATACTAGTATATAGACTTGCAACTATTTTGTACACCTCTATTGTAATTACAAATCGTTTGTTTATGTCAGACGACCAATCTAACAAAACCACAAAATTATATTACAACCACATCAGTCGCAGAGTGTTTTCTGCGTAAGCACTAGGCATATAATAGAGCCTGAAAAGTAAAAGCAGTGAGTGTGAGACATCAAATCATAAGAAGAAAAAGGATTATTTGTTCTCTATGAGCCAATAATGGGAACTTAGGATTATGCTTTTTTAACAGACAAATGATATTCGACTTCTTTTGACTGCCTTTTCTTGCTTATTCTTATTGTGTTCTTGTATGCCAATGAGATCTTCCTTCGGATCATTATTTATTCCCTTCACAATTATTGATTTTTTTTTTATTTCGACGTTACTTCTTCGTATATATATAAAGGGTACGTAAATCATATACATGGGTTAATTAATTAAGTAATTATTTTTCTCATTTGAGATCAACATTAGTTAGCGAGAACAACGTTCTGCACATCTTTAATCACATCCATTATTTACTCTATTATGTAATTATTTTCCTTTATTTTTCGTAATATTTGTTTTTCTCTTACAAACTTTTAGATTTTGTCACATCTACTCGGGATTTTAAGAAAAATAGAATAAAGTTACCTGTCGCCTGTCGGCATCCAAATAAAAATAGTAGGCTAATCATAAGAAAGGGTTATCAGGATAAATTCTGTAACTAATGATCTTTGTCTGCAATTTCTCTTAGGACATGATGAGAAAGATTTGTCTTTGTCGAAATAAAGGAAAAGACAAAAGCTACTAATCAATTACAAAAGCAATATTTGCTTGTTTTGCTCTAATGGGCTCTTCAAAAGGCGACCGCTTTACATTTATGTGATTCTTAATATCTAAACCAAACCAAAACCACATGTCTAATCCGAATTTGGCTCAAGTTTGTCTTCCGAATTTTGATTTGATTAAAAACTATACCGTTGCATGCCTACGTGATGTGTGAAATTTATAATTTTGAAAATTTGTTATAACATTATATAGAAAAGAAGGACTCGGTCTTTCTAGACCACTTTCCAAGGGGAGGGGGGGAGGGGTGGGTTAATTACATCTATACATGAAAATAGCATTCTATGAAGCATTAATATATATATAATATATGAACATATTACATATAGTCCTTCACATACCACCAATACACAAACATTTCCTCTCAAGTCAAGACCCAAGTTGACAAAAAAAAAAAGTCAAGACCCAAGTAAAACTATATATGACTTGTCATAATTGGCATGGGTTAGTAGCAAAGTTTGTAAACTTCAATTATAGACTAAGGCTCATCAGTTCTAACTATCAATCCTACATATTCCCATCTATATGTATTTACATCCGATCCATACAACACATGTTATCACTTATCACTAGTATTAGGATTCGATGAACGTACCAGTTTTTTTTAAAACACCAAAACCACGGAAACTAAAATAAATACAAAACAAAAGAGAAAGCTAGTTCCCGACCACCTTCGTCTTTGCCTAGAGACAAAGAAGTTTCACTTCCTTGTTTAATCAGAACACATCGCAGACAAACTTTACATATAAACACACCATAGATCTCGCTGTCTTTGATTTACTAATATAACAAAATTTACTATTTTTTTAATCTAATTAATAGCTAGAGATCTAGGCATCTAGCTTATATGTTTTTTTATATCAAATTTATTTAGTCTCCTAAATAATCCCTTATCTTCTTCGTTTCAATATCTAAAAAAACATATGTACCTTCAATTTAGCAGAAGACTTTTTTTTTTGCATGAATTGTTAATTTCAATTCTTTTATATTTTTTAATGTAGTTCACGTGTACACCCGTATGATTCCTCCGGCCAACCCGACAGCTCCATCGAAGAAAACATAAATTATAAATTTTTTAATTGAAAAACTTACAAAACAATGTATTTTCTCATTGAAATTCAAAGTGTATGTGTGTATCTCTTACCCGATTTACCCGGAAACCAAACACTCGGAAATTTCCATATGACACCACACGATCTGTCTAGCCTCCCGAGCAACAAAAGAAAATTAGAAAAATTGTGAGATATTAACATTACATTGACCTATAAATAACTCTCCAATATCACAATACACAATCATCTCCAAGAGTTAATCCAAGTAAAGAAAAACAAAAAAAATCGGAGACATTCCTAAACAGAAACCCTACAATGGTTTCGAAGCTTATAGTTGTATGCTGCTTACTAACGTATACTTTGGTCATGGCGGCAGCATTATCAGAAGCTGAGCCTCCGGCAACAAGGAAGATCGGCAGGCACAACTGGTCAGGAGAAGCACCGGAGGTTTCACATTTGGATGAGACTGTACGGCACGAACACCACCATTCCACGGTGGACAAATCGGTCGCCGGCGGTGGAGTTATACTCGGGGGTTTAGCGACTACGTTTCTTGTGGCGGTGTTTTGTTATATAAGGGCTACGAGGAAACCGAAGCCCATTTACGATGAGAAGGAGACTGAGACACCTAAAGTTTTAGTTTAGTTTCTCTTTTTGTTAATGTTTATGTACATTTTTTTTTTCCGTTAATTTACCTTTTTAATGTAAATTTGTCTTTTTCTTCGTAAGTAGTGATATAAACTGAGATTTCATTCTCATCATATTTGTCTTTATCTATTATTTTTATTTTTTTTACAAGCTAAAATTTATCACTGAATTGCTAATACTAACTAAACAAAATAATTCATGTGATAACCAGTTAACATTTTTTGAAAGAAACAAAACAAAACAAAACAAAAGATCATCTCGAACCTTGATTTTTAGTAAAAGAAAAAATCTAAACTCTCAGTATCTACTTCAAAATAATTGTTGTCCAACTACAGTAGTTATATTTGTTGAGAAAACTAAAATTATCAATGGAAGCACGATCATACAAAAAATTAAATCGAAGCTCATATAACATGGAAAGAAACACAATGTTATTTAACTAAACAATTAAACAGAGGCCAACTTCGGTTATAATTAATAGCCCAATAGGACTTCGGGTTTAATATCAGCCTAATCAAATTGCGTAATGCGTATCCTCTAAGATTAGTTTAAGGCTTTGAGGCTTCACATGGATTTTCTAAGCTAAACATGTTATACGATTCAATATTGCTTTTGGGCGTAGAGATAATGGCCCGTTTACCACACTTGTTAACGTAATTGCTTACGTAATCAGTCAATCTCCGAGAAACAAACGAATCAGAAATTAAAGTATTATTATGATCCAAAACAAAACTTGGCATGGAAGTATTTGAATCCGTCAACGGTATCAATGATGTTATCTTGTCAAGGTTACACAGCATATACAATACACGCTCAACCACTACCCTCCATTAAAATCAAGAACTTGACCAACTATATAATATATATTTTACTATTATATTTTCTCATGAACCAACTTTTCTTAATACATTATACATGCGTTTAACCAAGTCCAAAGTGACTATATATAACTGCTCGCCAGCATTGCTCAAGAAAACACATACACACAGACACAGAGAACAGAAAACCAAACAGGTTTAACCGGAAAGATGAATCAAGAAGAGCAAGTACAGGTTTTGGGGTTATGGGGAAGTCCTTTTAGCAAAAGAGTAGAGATGGTCCTTCAACTTAAGGGCATACCTTATGAGTACATTGAAGAAGATGTTTATGGTAATAAAAGCCCTATGCTTCTCAAGTACAACCCTATCCATAAGAAAGTCCCTGTCCTCGTCCACAATGGCAGATCGATAGCTGAATCTCTGGTGATCGTCGAATACATCGAAGATACGTGGAAGACAGGTCCCACGATATTGCCTCAAGATCCTTATGAGCGTGCCATGGCCCGTTTTTGGGCTAAGTATGTGGATGAAAAGGTACACATATATATATATGTTATATGTTGATCTTAATACTACATATTATGTTATATACAGAGGTGTGAGATTTTTATATATACAATGAAACTTGAATTGAATAGCAAAGTATTCACGTAAATATCAAGAATCAAGATACATATGTGTCTTAATTAATGAGAATTGTGTACAAGATTAAATTATATAACTGGTATTGATGGTTTCTTTGTGGTTCAAGGTAATGGTAGCAATGGGGAAGGCTTTTTGGGGACCTGAGAGCGAAAGAGAAAAAGAAAGGAAAGAGGCTTATGAGGGTTTGATAAGTCTAGAAAAAGAGATCGGAGACAAACGTTTTTTCGGAGGAGAGACAATTGGAATAGTCGATATAGCGGCTGACTTCATAGGGTATTGGCTAGGGATCGTCCAAGAAGTTTCAGGAGTCACGATCATGACCGCAGAGGAGTTTCCAAACCTTAAACGTTGGTCGGAAGATTTCGTAGGCAATAATATCATTAAGGAAGTCTTGCCGCCTAAGCAGAAGCTCGCCGCTCTTTTCAAGACCCCGTTTAGAAGTGCTGCTACATCTGGTTAATAAGAGAGCCTCTTTCTTAGTATATTTGTTTTCTATAATTAATGATTATCTTCTTAATAATGAAAACATACTTACGCCTGAGTTCGAGTTATTCACTCCATAACTAAGTCCGTTTTACTTGGGCTACTTTAAATAATGGGCTTCAGTCCATGTAATTGATTTGTTGTAGTAGGCTTGCTAATTTAAGAGTGTTACATTTAAATTGGAGTGTTCCAAACGTAGTGGCTAAACCGTAAGATTAATTCCCCACGTTCAGATTTCCATTTTTTAAAAGGTCCAATTACGTCTAAACGAAGCTGACTCAAAAGTGGTGAAAAAAAACAAATCAAGACGTTGAATATCGAATGGTTGATGATAATATATTTACTATTGGCGATTATATCGGATCTGTGACTACTGACGACCTAACAATTTTAGTCTTACTAGTAAAAGATTAATAAGAGTTATGGCTACTTGCCAGTTCGCAGTGCCAGACTCAATCATACTAAATAAACTTAATCCTTATATTTATTATACATATGTAGTGGACATTTAATGATAGAAGGAGCCATTAATGTAACGCATTAACCATCATCTTGCCTATTAATACTCGGAAAATTGGATCTATACTATGCACCAATTGCAAGTTTAGATAAGCATCAACACTCAAAAGATATTTGAGGTTCATAGTAGAAGAATATAAACATTTAAATAGAGATGATATTTTAAATTAATCTCGTCATCTATTATTATGTTATATATCAATAACTTTAACGCAAACAATCCAATTTTTTCATTACCAATATAGGACGCACGATTGGGACTAGCTAACTCATATTGTCCTTTCCTAATAGATTACAAATTATAAACTGAATTACTTATTAAATTTGCCTCTACAGTATTTACTTCTCTAATCCTAATTAACGATGACGGATTCTCATTTCTCCTCTTCAAACTCCGTTTATTCTTCTTCTTTTCTTTTACAAATAGGTCTTTTTATATATTATTATCCAATGTAAAAATTATCGATCCAAACTAGAAAAGTTTATCGAAAATCCACCATCCTTCATTCATTTTATATCAACCAAAACTATTATATATTCAAATTATGTGTTACGTACTCTTATTATAACTTGCTTACGAATATAAAATTTAAGAATATGTATTTAGTATTCTTAAACATGGAGCAATTAGACAATTATTGATAATCATATTTTACCACGTGGAAACTTCAATATTACTGTTTAATTGTTGTTTTTTTTTTCTTTATATTATGGGGAAATTATAGATTGAAGCCGAACTATTGTTGCATTTAAAATAATTGCTCGTTAAACACGAGATATATTATTAAATGTTTTAAATTTGAAAACAAATAAAACGACGGTCTTTTGCCAAAATAAAAGAGGACACAAAAAAACTACTATTTTATGTATAGTGTGAGTTAAAAGAATAAAAAATCGGCCTCATTCTATGCAGGTGCAACCATACTCCATGTGAGCTAATAATACTAAACGATCTCAAGGGCAAGTACTCTATATTATACCATATAGTTATTGTAATGTATGGAAGCTTCATTTTTTTCGAGCAACACAACGACTTTTTATCGAAAAGTCACTTTTTATTATTTTAATATGTACTCGTTGGACACGCGGAATATTTATATGTTGTAAATTAATTTTGAGAAAAAAGGAAAACTAATAATGCAACGATATAGATCATGCAATGAATCATCCTATTAAAAATAGATACAGTATAATAGTAGTTTAGACAAATATATAAAATAATATAACATATTGTGTTATAATTAACGTCAATAACCATGTACGTAGTAATCAATATTGGAATCGAAAACACGATCTTGATCTATCAAAATAGAATATTAAAATGATAAACGATGCCTGGTTGGCATATTAAAAAAACACACACGAAATTTTAATAAGTGAATTGGAAAATCGCTATATAAAGAAAGCCTTTGAGATGTAAAAGAACCATATCAGTAGTACTACTAAACTTCCTCTGCTCATAAACAAGAAAAATACAGAAAATGGCTTTGCAAAAGTTTCCTCTCTTGGGGCTGCTTTTGCTCATAGTTATCGTCGGGTCTCCTGCAAATGCCGACGGTCCTGTCTGTCCGCCATCGAGCAAACTAAGCCGAGGAAGTTTCCCTCAAGGTTTTCTATTTGGCACGGCTACTGCGGCTTATCAGGTTCAGTTTAAAAGTCATTCATATATACCAGATCAGTAGCATATATATATATATATGTGTTTTATATATCATTTGCTAAACCCGTCAGCTATTTTTGTTTATTGTCATTAGGTTGAAGGTGCAATTAACGAAACTTGTCGTGGACCTGCCTTATGGGATATCTACTGTAGGAGATATCCAGGTACATCTACTTTTTTTCTTACTAGCTAACTCTCAAGTACTCTTAGCTAAACTTTAGAATATTTTTGATTTAACAAAATTTAAATTGCAGCAAGATGTAATAACGATAACGGCGATGTAGCAGTTGACTTCTTCCATCGTTATAAGGTACATATATATTAATATGAAACATTATTTATCACTTATATAATATACTGATTAATTAGTCCATTTTAATTATACTAGATGCATGTTGAAATATTAATTGTCTCCTCTGCAAAAAAATGTTTGTAGGAAGATATTCAGCTCATGAAGAGTCTCAACACAGACGCCTTCAGAATGTCCATCGCATGGTCAAGAATATTTCCTCGTGAGTATACATATCAAAATTAATTTGGTGTGTTTAAAGTGTATATGAATGTTGAAATACTAATGAAACAAAACAATGCTTTTTTTTTTAATTAATCAGATGGGAGAAAGGAGAAGGGAGTGAGCCAAGCTGGTGTGCAATTCTACCATGACCTCATCGACGAGCTCATCAAAAATGGTTATACATATTTTTAAAGAATATATATGTTACATATATAAATTAATTAACAAATTAAAAAAACTCTATACCTACCACACTCTTATCTTCCTCTAAAAAAATATATTTATATTTGATAATGTGATTAGGTATCGTTCCATTCGTGACTGTTTTCCACTGGGACACTCCACAAGATCTAGAAGACGAATATGGCGGCTTTTTGAGCCAAAACATTGTGTACGTTTTCGTAACAAGAACTAATTAAAGCTTAACTTATGAGACAGTACTCTCCACGTGATTTTTATATTTTTTAGTTTTATTTTTGGGGAAAATACAGGAAAGATTTCAGGGAATACGCAGAGTTCGTTTTCCAAGAATACGGTGGGAAAGTGAAGCATTGGATCACATTCAACGAGCCATGGGTCTTCTCTCACGCCGGGTATGACGTAGGAAAGAAGGCACCAGGACGTTGTTCTCCTTACGTCAATCCTTTATGCCAAGACGGACGATCAGGTTTTGAGGCTTATCAAGTCAGTCACAACCTCTTACTCTCTCACGCTGAAGCCGTTGAAGTTTTACGAAAGTGTGAAAAGGTACCTACACATATATATATCATTATAATTCATTTATCGTCATTTTTTCAGATCTTAATTCTCATATTTAATTATGTTTTATGGCTATATAGTGTAAAGGATCTAAGGTAGGAATCGCCCATAGTCCGGCTTGGTTCGAGCCACATGACTTTGAAGATGCACAAGACGGTGCGTCTATCGACCGTGCACTTGACTTTATGCTCGGATGGCATTTGGACACAACTACCTTCGGAGATTATCCACAGATTATGAAAGACATTGTTGGCCATAGGTTGCCTAAATTTACCACTGAGCAGAAGAAAAAATTGAAGGATTCTACCGATTTCGTTGGACTCAACTACTATACTTCAGCTTTTTCAAACCATTTGGAGAAGCCTGATTACACCAAACCAAGATGGTTGCAAGATTCTCTTGTTCAATGGGAAAGTAAGTTTTTGTTTTTTCCCTTACTAATTATGCCAAAAAGTCACAGCAGCAGGTTGGAACGTATATATAGAGAACCTTATAATTATTACTAATTAAAATATATTATCTTCATCTGTGCAGCCAAGAATGTACAAAACTACACCATTGGTAGCAGGGTATGCGTTTGATTAAGACTGATCCCACTTTGAAATTGTTTCACCAACTAAATATTATATCATATTGTCGTCTAATTAAAATAACATTGTCACCATTGTACTATTTCAGCCTTTCACCGCTGCACTAAACGTTTACTCTAGAGGATTTAGAAGTCTTTTGAAGTACATCAAAGATAAATACGCAAACCCGGAAATTATGATCATGGAAAATGGTAACTACATATTCTACTTTTACTTTTAACTCTGATCTATCATGTGCTGATTATATCTTAGGATAAATATCAAATATACATGTTGTTTTTCTTAGGATATGGAGAAGAACTTGGGGCCACAGACTCGGTTGCAGTTGGTACTGCTGATCACAATAGAAAATATTATCTTCAGAGGCATCTTTTGAGTATGCAAGAGGCTATTTGGTAAGTCGTATTTCTTTTTAAAGTATATCATAGACTAACAATTGTACATATGGAAGAATCTGATGAAGCATTTGTGTAACATATGCAGCATCGACAAGGTGAACGTCACCGGATACTTTGTATGGTCGTTGTTGGATAACTTCGAGTGGCAAGATGGTTACAAAAACAGATTCGGACTCTACTACATTGATTTCAAAAATAACCTCACGCGTCATGAGAAAGAATCGGGCAAGTATTACAGAGAATTTCTCAGTCAAGGAGTTCGTCCCTCTGCGATCAAGAAGGATGAGCTTTGAGCTGTATTTTGAGGATTTGATTCATGCTTCAATATTTCTATCTATGTTTGAGTATGTGATCGACCAATATTCATGAGGTCTTGGTCAGAATAAAAGTGTTCCTTCTTCGTTTTATTTATTTCTCGATCTTTAGCTGATTTGACAAAACCAAAAAGCCTTTGGTTATAATAAAATGACCCTTTTTAGAAGTTGCTATGTGAAGTTAATACATTCACCTTCAAAACATACGAAACAACTGCATTGCATGTATTATCTAAAGCAAACAAAACATTCGTAATTTACAACAGGAGTATTTTGAACGAAGTACAAGCTAAAACTCATTGATCCGATAAAAGAACAGATCGGAATATCTACACATTCATCGCCAAAATGATCAGTTTTCGTTATAGAGCCCTTCACCAGCCCTAAAACAACCACCAAGATATCCCAGTGCAATCCCAGTAACGCATTTTGAAGTTGTGTAACGTTGCTTTGGTTTATCGATCAAATATCAACAGGAGAAGCATGGTGAATGCAAATAAACCATTGTCCATCAATCCGTTCAAACACATTCGACACAAACTGAGCTCCCCAACTACTACTCCCCTTTGTCTTCACAAACTCCATACACGTTACATAACCTATTTCGCCTCGGACATGAGCCTCAACATCTTTCAGCTCGATCTGTAACGGAAACTCATAGTTCATCCACACAAACTCCCAGCTTTCCATTATATAATCATACCCAGTTATGCCTTTGGCTCCTGGATGGACACAGCACGGGTTTCCAGTTTTTGACCACAGCGATTGCATCGCAGCTAAGTCCCCGTTTCTGAAAGATTGGTAGAACCTAGAATTAGCTGACAAAACAGAGGCTTTGTTATCTTCTTGAAGGTCTTTTAGTTTGTCCCGTATTTTAGCTGCTTCCACGTAGTTTTCTTCCTGGATCGCAATCTCGAGATCTTGCTTCAACGTGTTCTCATCCACTGATATGCTCTCAACATCTGCAGTTTGGTTATTGTCCTCACGTTTGACTCGACAAGGCCTAAGACGAGAGCCTGCTTCAAATGTCAAAAGTAACATTAAAGAAAACCAAGACTAACGAAACGGGCCTCATCTAAAACTAGTTCTTCTACTAATTAAGATGCTCGAACTAAAATCACTAAGACCACAGAGACTGTAAGAGTAAAACGCACACGGTTCATTGTTCTGCAGCTTGAGATGACCCAACCCAAATGTATTGCTGGCAGAAACCATGTTGCAATAAATGGGTTTAGATTTAGGCAAGTGAAGCAGCCTCGTCGAACCACCAAACAGAGATGTGACATCTACTGTGCTTGAAACCTATCAGGGAGCAAAAGATTTAAGGCCAGATTAGAACAGCAATAGATTCATCAAATTTGCTGGGTAACAACAAAAAGTTTCGATCTTGAAGAAGACGCTGCCTCTCAGAGTTGCTTTCTAATTGTAAACAAGCTATAAATATTGACCGCATCGATCGAATTTCATCTAGGGCTTAATCTTAGTACAAGACCTAATCTGTAATAATCCTCACACAATACAAGATTAGAATTCTCGCCATGAACAACAAACCATCCAATCTCAATGGGTTCTTCTTGGATTACATATGATAAATATAGATTGGAGTTTCAGATATCAAAGGGAAAATCATAGGTAAATGTCTTTAAAGAAGAGAGATAATAGCTTACTTTGCATAAAAATCCAGTCCCATGAAGCGCCATGGTTAACAAGGTATCGAAAAATTCAAAGAGCTTTCCCGGAAAATATTGGCGATCAGTGGTTTCGAGTTGTTTGATGAAATCAATCAATCAACGAAAAAGATAGCTCAAACTCAAAGAGACTGTTCATCCAGACTCCAAGATCAAATTAATGGGCCTAGCATTAAGGCCCATATTTCAATTTAAATGGTCCGTTAGGCGTAATCTAACTTATATTTTAGGCCTATACATTTTATTTTTAATAAGAAGATATGGATTTAAAATATTTAATTAGTCACCTAAACGAGCGTCCCATTACACCACACTCGAGTTTCTAGAGTGTTTTTATTTGCCAGTAATGATGATCAAATTTACGAAAACGATTTGATTACGATAGATTACTTGCACTTTTTTATAAAAAATTGTGGATGAATTGTGAAAAAAATAAAGATAAGTGTGGTATATTGCCAAAAATCTTTTAATGAGAAAATTTTATGGTTAAATGTAAAACTCAAAAACTGAAATGTACTTTGAAGATGAAGCCTTGAACATAGAGATTTCGAATTTAGCCTAAAACAAAGACGAAATTCAGCAAATTTCTATAATTTTTTTTGTTTGTAATGTTATGTGCTCACAATTTAAGAACGAGGAATTTAAATGGAACAAGCAAACAAATTAAATAATATAATTCTACGTTGATTTTTTCAGAAAAAAAATATTATAGATTATATTGTTCATCAACTATTTAATTATGATATATAAAAATATTCGATTTGTTTCTTTAAAAATAGATATTAATTTCTTTCCGGGAGGCGGGAGTTTAATAACCAAAGCACTTGAAAGTTTTCCTCCACCGGAGAAACTGTTATCGTCTACCTTCTCCATCGCCGGCGATGGGCTGCGTTTGTTTCCGACCTTGGCGTCGATCGCCATCTCCGTCGATTACTTCTACCGTCATCGACGAATTAGGTAAAAAATTCCGACGAAATCTCCAGACACTCCTCTTTTGCGATAAATTCTGATAGAAGACGATGGATCGAGAACTAACCTAATAGTTTGGCTGCAGATAAAAGCGAAGAAGATGAGGGAAGTACTTGTCCCAGTTTCCGGGAATTTAGCTTGGAACTGTTGAGAGTCGCTACTGACGGATTCTCCGCCGGCAACATCGTGTCGGAGCACAACGAGAAGGTTCCTAATATCGTCTACAAAGGGAGGCTCAACGACGGCACATTGATCGCCGTCAAGCGGTTTCAGAGACTTTCATGGCCTGATTCTTTCGAATTCATCGTTCGTCTTTTACCCATTTTCTTAACTTACTCATTCATTGTGATGGTTGGAATCAAAATTAGGTTTTTTTTGAGTCTGAATTAAATTTCTAGATTCTTCTTTGTTTGGTTTTGCTTAAGATTTGACTCGTGATTTTAAGCTTAGAGCCCTTTTTTTATTTTTGCCGATTGTTCATCGTCTTTGACTTTGATTGGTTATTATTACCGAAATACTTCTCTTTAATGTGACAATGTTCTTAATTCTGATCTGTTTCAGAGGCAAATTTCATATCCTTTTTTTTGTGTTTGTAAAGATTCAAATTAGGTTCTGAACTTGATCTGTTGCAGAGGCACATTTCTTAAATGTGGCAGTTTGTTTTTCAGGAGGAAGCACAAGCTGTGGGGAGGTGTAGGAGTGAGCATATGGCCAATTTGATAGGTTGTTGCTCAGAAGGTCACGAGAGGCTGCTCGTTGCTGAGTACATGCCTAATGGCACACTTGCAAAGCATCTCTTCCACTGTGAGACTCAACTTATTAAGTTTTGATTAACTCCCATGTGCCTTTGATATCTTTTGCCTTAACTATACCATTGAGTTTCATTATTGCCAATAAATTGTTTGACTGTGAAATTAATTCAGGGGAGAAACGACCAATGAAATGGGAGATGAGGCTGAGAGTTGCGTTACATACTGCAATAGCCTTGGAGTACTGTAATGATAGGGGAATAGACTTGTACCATGATCTTAACACCTACAGAATATTGTTTGATAAGGTTAAAAATTTCGGCAGTTTGATAACCATTATCATAAGTTTCATATAGAGAATAATCATTTTCATAAGTTTCTTACAAAGTATTTAACAGGTTGGGAATCCCAGGCTGTCTTGCTTCGGTCTAATGAAGTGTAGCCGAGAGGGGAAGAGTTATAGCACCAACTTGGCATTTGCTCCTCCTGAATATTTGCGTCTAGGTATGTGTTTTCTACTGAATTTTATGATTACATCCAACCACTCTTCTCAAGAAAAAGCACTAAACTATCATCTGAAACACTTGTAACTTTTAAACTTTGCTAGGTACTGTGATACCAGAGAGTGTCACTTTTAGCTTTGGGACCTTACTACTGGATCTTATGAGCGGCAAACATATTCCACCGAACCATGTAACTTTCTTCTCGCAAAGCACAATGTCTGTTGGTCCTCAAGGTGTCAAATGTCAATAGCTATAAATGATAGGTTCTTGTTAAGGAGACTGAAATTAGTTGCATCCTGAGGCATGATTTATATTTTATATAAATATATCTTGAGAACTTTCATTAGTTTTAGCTTATCTGGAAATGTCACTCCAGGCACTTGATCTGTTCCGTGGCAAAAACTATCTGGTGTTAATGGATTCAGCTCTGGATGATCAATTCTCTGATGAGGATAGAACAGAACTAATACATTTAGCTTCCCGCTGTTTGCGGCCTGAACCAGACGAGAGGCCAAGCATAAAATTTCTCTTGTCGGCTCTTTCAAGGCTTGAGAAACGAGCTGAGTCTTGGCCAAACGTCAAAGGAGAAAACATCCCTGTAAGTCATGACTCCACTAATTCTTCCAAGGTTTCGGGTTTTGCAATCTTTTCTTATGTAATCATGGAGTTTAATAATGACAGAGTCAATCATACACTAAACCTGAAACAAAGCAACCATTGCGCTTGACCCCTTTTGGAGAAGCATGCTGGAGAGTGGATCTAAGTGGCATACATGAACTACTCGAGAAAGTCGGGTATGGAGAGGATGATGTGGTGGTCACAAACGAGGTATATATGTTTGTGATAAACATAAAATCTCTTGATACAGCTCAATATCTCATTATGGGTCCAAAACAAAATTGCAGTTCTCATTTCAAATGTGGACGGGTCAAATGCAAGAGAATATGGATTACAAGAAGCATGGGGATGCCGCATTTCGTGCTAAGGATTTTGAAACCGCAATCGAATTCTACACAGAGGTATCATTTTGAATCATCAAGATCCTATCTTCCTTTACCAGCAAAGATACATTATTCCTAACAATATGAATTTCTTCTTATAAACAGTTCATGAGCGGAGCACCAGTGGTATCACCAACAGTATTAGCCAGACGGTGTCTATGTTACCTAATGAACGATATGTTCCGTGAGGCTCTAAGTGACGCTATGCAAGCTCAAGTCACATCACCAGAGTTTTCAATCGCTCTCTACTTACAAGTGGCTTGTCTCTTAAAGCTTGGGATGGAACCTGAAGCTAAAGAAGCTCTTAGACATGGCTCCTCTCTCGAAGCTTTTTAGAGTTACAGCAACAACAAGAACAAACAAACAAAAGAACTGTACAGCTTCTTTCTCTGCATACGTATAGATATACGTGTATTAGAAATGTGAATACACACATAGCACATATACATGTTTGCTTCTTTGACTTGGTTTGACAGAACCTTGCTGTACCATCAGATTTTTGTGTGCTAAAACCGAATTTTCTTGCTGTATTTCCTTGCTCTTAACTGGATTGTGGATTTTGTTTATTACACGTTCACACTAATTGGCAGTGTTATGAGATCATCATTGTGGGCTTGTTAAGACATGTTACAAACCATATCATTGTATATCGCAATCGCCATCATACAAGTCATAAGGAAGTTGAAAGACGCTATGGCCTCTACTCAATTTCAGAACTATAGAAACTATCTCTACTCAATTACATCACAACTTCGATTACAAGCAAGACTCAAGCTCTCCGAGATCAAGAGATAAAACAAATCAAATACCAAAAAAAAAAAGGGTCAGGAAATCCAAAAAAAAAAAAAAACTCAAGAGACTGGTTTTGTTCTGCTATTTGTTTATGTGGACAAGACATTGGTTATGTTCTTCCCCTGTTCAGAGACAAGATAGTGATCTCGATGACCCCTTGAGCCTTGTGGCCTTAACCGGACAGCTGCTTCTTCCATCGCCCTCACGCTGCTACTCTCTAAACCGCTTCTCAGCCAAGCAAGGCTGCTTATATCCGTTGTTATAGCAGCTAGTTCGTAACTTGGAAACGTTGGTGGGTCTAAGTAATCCACAAATTCTGGACCCAACAATGAGTCTTGCTGAATAATGCCAACGGGATTGTTTGTGCAACAACCACCTCCACATGTCTGAGGCACACACAGTTCGCTGTAAACTCCTTCAAGCACTCTTAACATTGCAGCGTCTTGTTTAGATGATTGGAACTGGTTTTGGTCTTGTATATGTGGGGAGGGGGATCCTTCCATGTGATTGTAGGCATTAAAAGAACTGATCTGAGCTACCGGACGGAAAAGCGTAGGAGGATCATTCACGTCTTGCTTAGAAATACCTTGATGGAAAAGCGTTGGAGGATCATTACCGTCTTGCTTAGAAATACCTTCTCCATTTGTTTTCTCAACGCATTGCTCTTCACAGATTTCCATGGACGTGGCCTCTTTGCCTTCTGGAGATACAACTGGAGTAGTTACCTGACCACCGCCCCCTGAGGATAAAGTTTCTTCTGACGAGGCTACTCCAAATCCAGGATTTTCCACGACTAAGCCTGCAGTTCCCATATTCTTTGCCTTTTCAAGATCCATAAATCGACGTCTTAGAGTGGAGTTCCAATGGTTCTTAATAGCGTTATCTGTTCTACCAGGAAGGATTTTTGCAATAGCAGCCCATTTGTTTCCATGGATGGCATGTGCTGTGATGATAGCCTGGTCTTCTACCTCTTCATAAACCAACAAACAAAAAGATACAAACAAGGGACTGATTAAATGATATAGAAACAAAGATTAAAGTTGATACGAAAAGATCATATTAACTCGAGAACAATTAACTAGTAATACCTACTCCCTTGGGAGCTAGTACCACGCAGCGCCAAATACAAACAAAAAATTTACAGCTAAACGAAGTAACAATGTCAAATAAACCGTAATTAGAACAGCTACTCCATCCTAACTTTGCCGTTCATTTGGGGTTCAAAGTAGAAGTTCACGACCCATTAAAAAAAAAAAATTACAAACCCTGAAGAAGCACATAATCTAAAGATGATTTCTTTTCTAATATTTCAATTTAGATTGAATCTCCCTACTGATTTCGCTGGGAAGATCACAATTCAATGCCATTTCACAATCATACAAGCAGCCACAGGGATGATCCAATAGTTAGTTTCACGACAGAATAAAACAGCAAAAATATGATGGAACCAAAGACAAGAACCCTAGATTCCTCAATTCAAGCTCAACACAGATCAATTAAACAAAATCAGAAAGATAAGAAGAAGATCAGAGGAACAATCCGATCGAAAAATAAAATCCCCAATTAAAATCAAAAACAGGGAAATGGATAAATACCAGTAAAGGAGTTGCGTATAACAGTTGGATCGAGCTGATTACACCAACGAAGACGACAAGACTTGCCTGAACGACCAGGAATACTCCGTGCGATCAGACTCCAATTCCTGGCTCCATGAGTATCAACGAGTTTACTCAACACAACATCTTCCTCTGGTGACCACGGCCCTTTTACTCGATCTTTTCCTCCTCTCCCACTCGTCCCTGCCGCACCATCGTCATCGCCATCTCCTCCGCCAATTCCCACCTCTGTCGTCGATTCTTCCACCTCCCTTAACCCCGTCGTCTCCGATCGTCTCGCAATCTCTCCCTCCATACGCTTCCCTTGTCTCTCTCACCTACCGGACTTAACTGTAAAGCGTTTGGGTCTCGTTGGGGTCGCGTGAGCACACGCTCTATCTCTCTCTCAGCTTAGATTCGTAGGGCTTGTGTTTCGGGGGATCTTTTTGTTCCTTTTAATTACCTTTTCACCCTTTTAATTGGCATTTACCACGTTACCCTCATTAGTAATCCTCTGACTTCTATTCTGGTCAAGCATCTACGAGGGAGATTTAGGTAAATTCATTAAAACGGAAGATCTATGGGAGGTTGATGACTTTCACTGGCTTATGGCGGGAAATTTTTCATTAGCGGTGGACTAAGTACTTTTTATTGGGCCTATTTAAGCCCATTATTCTCTAAATTAGGCCTCCCCGCGTAGCTCATTCGATGGTTTTCATTGTAGACTAATGGTTTGGAGATGGAATTTCCGGGAATATACATGGGTAATGCGTGTTTTGATTTTCCTTTCATATTTTGTGTTATACGATCTATAATTTATAAGTACTAGTTGTAATCTGGTGTGTTATCAGATGTAAATGATTCTCTCTATTGGATTTTCAAAAGGATTTGATTGACACTAGATGTTAATAAAATTTGCAAGTCTTTTCTACTTATATAAACAAATGCAAGATATGAAAGTAGACCTCATTGTTTTAAAAAATAATTTTAATTTATTATTTTAAAATGCAAATGTTTGATCTTAAATATATGAAAATTATATTGTAGAGAGGTCACCTCTAAATAGGTTTTTCTAGCAAAGTCAAGTCACAAAACAATAAACATTCGATTTGGCCAACTATATTTTGAAATTTCATAAGAAGGTATTCAAGATCAAGGCTAGGAGTTGATCGTGTTAACCAAGGCTTTGAAATTGTGTTAATATAACTTGAAAAGTCAATGGTAATCCATTCGCGTATCAAAACGATGAGATGGCGATCGAAAGCTAATAAAGAAAGAGCTTCAGACCAATGCTTGAACATACAAGAAACAGTCAGATTATTATTACACGAGAGCGACCTTTGCCTGACAACAAATCTTTAGATCAGCTCATGGCTGCTATAGTTTAAAAAAAAAAAAAAAAACGGGGTTTCAAAAATATGGCGAGAACGGCCGTTTACTATATGTTTATAATTGATCGATATCTAAACTATGTAGCTATTACAATAAACAACGTCACACATAATGACCTCGGAAAAGAATGATTAACTGGAACAACTAGGTCAAGTTAAAACAGTTGTCGAATCCAATTATTATAAGAAAAAACACAGTACACAGTAAAGGTAATTATAGTTATATTATAACGATGTCGACTATAAGAACATAAATTCATACGAATATGATACCAATGTATATGAAGTTAATATATCTACACAAAGATACAACACGTTTCCTGAAAGTTTTACAAAGTTGACTTAGAAGAGGCTTTCAAGTTTCAACTTGACCGTTTCTATGCACGTATCAAAACTCTTCATTTTATAAGTAAACCAATTGTTGAAACTGATCATTAGTTTAGTTGACATGAATAATTCCACAATACTACCAACTGTCATATAATTTGAGACAGGATCAACTGGCCTGTGTCTGAAGTGCGTCGCATGTATTGTTTTTGCATTTAAATATAGCTTAAAGCAAAATTTTGTGTTCGTTAATTGATTCCTTAATTTTATCGAATTCAAAATCTACTTTTAAATACAAGATCACATATGATACTTGGATATCTTTTAACTACTCAGCTTTTAAAATCCGAGAACAATAACAGTGGAAAAAAATAGAAACATTGATTTCTACTTTATCAATGATTAAAATATTTGTAACGTTTGATATTTAAAAATATTGTTATACATATTTTGGGAAAGGTTTTGCGAATTCAGAATTTCCAAATTTTATTATAAATCTGTCGCTAAAATTGTGGTTGTTACTTAGATATCATAATAGTAGATGAGTAGTTGTCTATATTGGACCTGCTAACGAGTAGAGATAGTTTGTGTTGAGACGCAAAAAAACTTGGATACGCAAAAAAATATTGGATGACTTTTGTGTTATTTCCTAAGAGAAATAAAAAAGGATAAACTAAATTAATACAAGGGAGTAATCAACTGTAGGAAATTTAGACAACGATGTCTCTACTAACAGATTGAAAAATACCTATGGGCGCCATCCATAGCTTCGCTACCAAGAATATTTCAATATCTACAAAACACACATGCACACACGTAGACAACTACTTACTTACATACACACCCAAATATATTGATTATGCCATAAAAGTTTAGAACAGTGATCGATATACATCATATTAGTTATAAATTATGCAAAATATTCTATCTATATATATACTTAAGAAACTTATATTGGAATAGAGGATTTATATATTAAACATTTATTGTTCAACTTATACATTCTAATTGGTATATCAGTAATGTTTGTACGCAATTTTTATTTATGTGAAATATATCTATTTCTAAGTATAACATGTGATAGAACTGTCAAAATGATGTGGCAGTAACATTGGATAGAACTTACGTGGCTAGTTAAGGTACTAATTAAAGAGTTAAATAAACTTTGAAACCCATATTGAGAACCATCATGATGATTTTACATACTTTGTAATTTGTATATTTAAACCGTTATCTTATTAGACAGCCCTAATTACCATCAAATGTTTACTCTTTTCTTCGTTAGTTACCACTTGGCATTCTATAAATTATTAAAGTGGAACCACGTCTCTTTGCTTCAACATCTCCATAACACAACCATATATCTCTCTTTGTTTGCTAGATCTCCCTCGTTCATCTTTCTCTCTCTCTCTAGCTAGAGACGATGGAGGGTGTTAGGGTTTTGCTTGCTTGCGCTCTACTTCTCTTCGCAGTCTCTTCAATAGCTTCTGCCGCCATTGTCGAACACACCTTCAACGTAACTTTTGCACGCTTCTTCTCCCATTAATATTGATTTCTATTGCCGTGTTAGTTATACTTATTTTGAATCCGTTTCAAAATTTATAACAAGATTTTTAATTATTTGAAGACCAAAATCATGTTTTTATTAGAATGTGAAAAATGAGTTTTAAGTTTTGTTTTTTTTTTGGTTTTAATGTGAAGAATATGAGTTTTAATTTTACTAGCTAACGTGACCATTGACCGATCATGCATATCCCTAATTAACGACGTGAGAGATACTTGGGTATTGCCAGGTACAAAACTTAACGGTGTCTCGGCTGTGCAAACGGCAAGTGGTGACGGTGGTAAACGGAAGCCTGCCAGGACCAACAATACGCGTGAAGGAGGGTGACTCGCTCGTTATTCACGTCCTCAACAATTCACCTCACAACATCACAATTCATTGGTACTCAATTAATTAGTTATTTAATTAACCTCGTTTTATATTAGTATTAGTTTTGCTGAATGATTACGTTTTTTATTTTTGACTTTACTAGACGTTAGCCTTTCACAGTCTCTTATTTATTTCCTTTCTCGCATACAATACTCAACTTTGTTTTCGAAATATAAGAAAACATATAGAAAAATGGATTTCAAACAGTGTCTATGTGTTTTTTATATCTGTTTAGCGGTTTATCATAGACTAATTACTTTTCAACTTGTATTCCTTCATGAATCATATTTTTTTATATTTTTTATCTTTAGCTAGTGAATCATATTTGTTAGTTTCGTTTGGCTTTTTTATTGAAAGGTTTTAACAACTTTTTGTGTGTTAGGTTCGACAAAATTGTTTAAATATGTAGATATCTTAATTAATAATATGTGTACACGTACGACGACGCAGGCACGGGATCTTCCATAGACTAACAGTTTGGGCAGATGGACCGAGTATGATAACGCAATGCCCAATCCAGCCTGGGCATAGATACGCTTACAGATTCAACATCACCGGCCAAGAAGGTACCTTGTGGTGGCACGCACACTCTTCTTTCCTACGTGCCACCGTGTACGGTGCTCTTGTCATCCGCCCTAAATCCGGCCACTCTTACCCGTTTCCCAAGCCTCACAAAGAGGTTCCCATCTTATTCGGTATGTCTCAATATTAATTATAGTAAATGTTTTTTAAATAAATCTTGTTATATTTTCTACTAATTATACTAAGCTATAGATACATTATTACTAAACCAAAATTGATGAGTTGCTAAAAGTTAGATGTGTCGTAATCCTCAGTTTAGAACTTTAGATGTGATATCAAACTATTTAAATAGTTAATCGAACGCACACGTTAGTACTTCAGTTGGTGAATGACGCGACGGATATATTGTTCCTTGTCTTTTAATATTGAAACTTCTATATACTTTAGTAGCTATAGTATTGGCCAAACTAAAGTCTTCTATCAATAATATCTAACTTTCTATTTTTTTAAAAAAACAGGTGAATGGTGGAACACCGATGTAGTCGCATTAGAGGAGACCGCAATCGCCACCGGAGTTCCTCCAAACAATTCCGACGCTTATACGATCAATGGCCTTCCCGGAAACCTATATCCATGCTCCAAAGACAGTGAGTCAAACAGAAACAACAACAACAACTTAAACAAATAATAACAATAATAATCATTAGCCTAGTCATGAACGAAAATACGTTTTTTGCAACTAATTAGTAAAACGAGTAAAATGACCACAACTTTTCATTAGCTAAAGTAAATAATAACCAAATGACGTATATCTTATTACATGTTGATTAGAATACTTATTTCAGTCTCCGTTATAACTAATTTCGGGTAGAATATCATAATCAAACTATGTATTCAACTTACGTTACATGTTTATCTTTTTCATATGTATATCATTCAAAAGAGCATGCCGTAAAAAATAAAAATAACAAAAACAGTACATCAGAGTCAGCAAATAGCATGTTATTTTTCTTCTTTCTAATCACACTAATTAAATACTGTGTCATTGCATTATTAATCTTTTATTTTTTGGGTATGAATAAAAATAGGAATGTTTAGTCTAAACGTGGTGAAAGGAAAGAGATACTTACTACGCATCATAAACGCGGCAATGAACATTCAAATGTTTTTCAAGATAGCCAATCACAGGCTTACAGTTGTCGCCGCTGACGCAGTCTACACTGAACCTTACGTCACCGACGTCATCACAATCGCACCGGGTCAAACCGTTGACGCCCTCCTCTTCGCCGATCAGTCCATCGACACCTCCTACTACATGGCAGCTCATCCTTACGCCAGCGCACCCGGCGTCCCTTTCCCCAACACCACCACCAGAGGCATCATCCACTACGCCGGCGCTTCGAAAACACGGCGAACGAAGCGCGTGTTGATGCCTAAGCTCCCTGCCTTCTTCGACACGTTAACCGCTCACAGATTCTACTCCAACCTAACTTCATTAGTCGATGGACCTCACTGGGTACCAGTACCACGCCACGTGGACGAAGAGATGCTCGTAACCATCGGCCTCGGGCTAGAGGCATGCGCAGATAACACCACGTGCCCGAAATTCTCAGCTTCTATGAGCAACCACTCTTTCGTGCTACCTAAAAAGCTGTCGATCTTGGAAGCTGTGTTCCACGGCGTCGACGGGATTTTCACACCGGATTTTCCAGACCAGCCTCCGGTTAAGTTCGATTACACTAACCCGAACATAACCCAAACAAACCCGGGACTTTTGTTCACTCAAAAGACAACGAGCGCCAAGGTTTTGAAATTCAATACGACGGTGGAGTTGGTGCTGCAGAACCATGCGCTTATCGCAGCTGAGAATCATCCCATGCACCTCCACGGATTCAATTTTCATGTTTTGGCTCAAGGGTTTGGTAATTATGACGCGAAGCGTGACCGGAGCAAGTTCAATCTCGTTAACCCGCAATTCCGTAACACTTTGGCTGTGCCTGTTGGTGGATGGGCCGTGACCCGTTTCACTGCTAACAATCCAGGTAAAGCACAACTCTCAGTTTACAAAGGCTTTCTTTATTGTTAATGCATGAAACCTAAATGTTGGATACTACATTGGTTCAGGTGCGTGGATTATGCATTGCCATATCGATGTTCACTTGCCGTTCGGACTAGGGATGATATTTGTGGTTGAGAACGGGCCGACCAAGGCCACTTCATTGCCACCCCCACCACTTGATCTTCCCAAATGTTAAGCAACTTTTGATTTCAAAGGTTTCTTGAAAACAATAAGAAAAAGATTATTTAGAGCAAAGAAGGAAATAATTTGGATCGAAGTCTCACTAGATTTGCTCTCTCACATTTATTTTGATGTAGTCGGTAATTAAAATTGAATTGTAGCCCCTTCAGATGGTGTTGCTAAAAATTTAAATTATGTGTGTTGTGAGTGATATATAATTTATTTTCTTTTAATTTTTTTCACTTTTTCATTTTGTGTATTTAAATCTTGAGTTCAAACAATATCAAATATACATTACCAAAAAATAAACAATATCAAACATAAGCACAAAAATTGCTTCATATATAGATGTACCTCTTTCTCAACACCAAAAAATATATATAAGAGCAAAATTGGCGAAGAATTTTAGAAAGCCTCATCAGTTATATTTGGTTCTAACTTCTAAACAATGAAAATAATTAATCAGTTCGAAATTTTAAAATACGGTACAAAGTTAAGTATACTACCGTTATTGGTCAGGTAATCCTACTCTGGTTTAGTTTCCTACCGGTATTGGTGTTAACCGATTCCCGGTAAAAAAAACTTCCAAAACATTATCCTAAATTTCAGAACAGACAGAAAAAAAAACCCAGAGAATGATGAAGCTGGAAGGGGGACTTCTCCAATGGAGTCGTAGTAGCTTAATCCCATCGATTTATACGACAATCAACAAAACCCATTTCTCTATCTCCGCCTGTGTCATCGAGCGGAATCACCAGCTTACGGCGAAAGAGAGACGGCAGCTCCGGAACGAGCGGCGGGAGAGCAAATCAGGGTATAGCTGGCGAGAAGAAGTTGAAGAAAAGTTGATTAAGAAGCCAAAGAAACGGTACGCGACGTGGACGGAGGAGCTGAATTTGGACACTTTGGCGGAGTCGGGTCCGCAATGGTGGGTGGTTAGGGTTTCTAGACTTCGTGGTCACGAGACTGCTCAAATCTTAGCTCGAGCTCTCGCTCGTCAATTCCCTGAAATGGAATTCACGGTATTGCAATTACTTCTCAAATTTTCTGTTGTGTGGTTGTGAAGTTCGGATTTTGACAGTGAGATGAGATCAAAATGGTATCTTAGAGTACTAAACGTTTTTGTTTAAAGATTGACACTTTATTGGTTTTTTTTGGTTAGTGTGATCTTGAGTTTAGATTTTGGGTTATTGTGTGATCTTGAGAATTTGTGGGGAATTCAAACAACTGGTTTTGAAGCAAGTTGCTTTGGAATTTCGTTGTCCAGGTGTATGCTCCATCTGTTCAGGTGAAGAGAAAGCTGAAGAACGGTTCTATATCCGTAAAACCGAAACCTGTGTTCCCTGGTTGCATTTTCATCAGATGTATATTGAACAAAGAGATACATGACTCCATTAGAGAAGTTGATGGAGTTGGAGGTTTCATAGGCTCAAAAGTTGGAAATACGTGAGTAGTATTCTCACTCCCACTCTCACTCTATACATGCGTAAATGTCTTTCAATTGATTTGTATCTGTATTTTTTTGCAGCAAGAGACAGATTAATAAACCGAGACCAGTAGACGACAGTGATTTGGAAGCCATTTTCAAACAAGCAAAAGAAGAACAAGAGAAAGCAGACAGTGAGTTCGAGGAAGCAGAAAGAGCTGAACAAGAAGCGACCTTACTAGCCTCACAGAATTCTAATTCAGATGTTATTGAGGCTGTAGCAGAATCTAAACCGAAACGAGCCCCGAGAAAAGCTACACTTGCTACTGAAACAAAGGGGAAAAAGAAGAAACTTGTAGCTGGTTCTACAGTTCGAGTTTTATCAGGAACATTCGCAGAATTTGTTGGAAACTTTAAGAAACTGAACCGCAAAACTGCAAAGGTACCAGTAACTAACCTTTAGCTCCTTGCGTGTGCACAAATGTATTTGTTTAGATGTCTCTCTGACTCAGTGACTCTCTTGTATGGTTGATGGTTTGCAGGCAACGGTGGGATTTAGTTTGTTTGGAAAGGAGACACTAGTGGAAATTGACATCAATGAACTTGTTCTTGAGATTCAATCTTAGACTAGTTTGTTCACTACATGTGAATTTTTGGTTTGAAATATAAATCTATCTGTTTTGTTAAATTCCCCATGCGAGCACAACGACGACTTTCTATGTCTTCCTCTGATGAAGAAGACCATAGAGATGGACAACATCTTGCAACTCAGCAACTCTGATTAACATCTAATGAACTGTGTCCCGTTTCAACAATTTAACATAAGAACGCATAATGGTTTTTAATCGGCGAAAGACTGGATTTGGGCCCGCTCGGGAAAGGCCCAATATCATTGAAGTAAATAATAGCCGTCAGATTAGCAATCAAGCAAACAGATACAAACCGTTAGATTAAGGTCACTTGAAAACCCTAGAGATCCCTTATCTCTTGGCCAGTTAGTGAACTATAAAAAGGCTGATACCAAAACCCTAGTTTCTTTACGTCAAACTCTCTCTGCACAGAGTTAAATTGAGTTTGTGTCTCGTAATTTGTCCTTTTGAGCGAAAATGGTGAAAGCAACCAAGGCCGAGAAGAAGATCGCGTACGACGCCAAGCTATGTCAGCTTATCGATGAATACACCCAGATCTTGGTCGTTGCGGCCGATAACGTCGGATCAACTCAGCTCCAGAACATCAGAAAGGGTCTTCGTGGAGACTCTGTGGTGCTTATGGGAAAGAACACTATGATGAAGCGTTCCGTTAGGATGCACTCTGAGAACACCGGAAACACTTCTATCCTGAATCTGCTTCCTCTCCTTCAGGTGAACTTTTCAACTTTGCGGAAATGTTGTTTTTGTGTTTCGGATAGTTTAGATTATAATCTGCGTTTGGATCTGTGTTTGTTTTTTTAGGGAAACGTTGGTTTAATCTTTACCAAAGGTGACCTCAAGGAAGTGAGTGAGGAGGTTGCTAAGTACAAGGTTGGTTACTTCATCTTGTTTCATTTTTCTAATTCTCTGCAAATGTTGGATTATAGCTTTTGGTCTTATCTAATGTGTATAGGAAATTTGTTTTAACTTTGCATTTTTGCGTTTATTGTTTATGTTTGTCTTAGAGATGTTCTCAATAGCCTGTGTAGCTAAGAGTATAACAGTCACCTGTATCAACTTGGGTATTGGATTGTCTAAAATGTTGATACATTCCACAATATGATTTGTTTGTGTAATACGTTGATGCCGCCCTATCATATAGGATTGGACTGTATGAACTATTGATGCTTTCTATATATGATTGTGTAATATGCTGATGCTTTATTCATATTATTGAATTGAAAATGAACTGTTGATACTGTTTACAGGTTGGTGCTCCTGCTCGTGTGGGTTTGGTTGCCCCAATTGATGTCGTTGTCCAACCTGGCAACACTGGTCTCGACCCGTCCCAGACATCTTTCTTCCAGGTTTGCTTAATATTATATTGTAATACTTGACTGGATTCGTTTGAGTACAAAGTCTGAAGTTATTGAAACTTGAATCAAACGTTTGAATGAATATGTTTCGGGATGTGTAGGTGCTTAACATCCCAACCAAGATTAACAAGGGTACTGTTGAAATTATCACCCCTGTGGAGCTCATCAAGCAAGGTGACAAGGTTGGGTCTTCTGAGGCTGCCCTTCTAGCCAAGCTTGGCATCAGGCCGTTCTCATATGGTCTTGTTGTCCAATCGGTTTATGACAATGGTTCAGTCTTCAGCCCAGAGGTTCTTGATCTTACAGAAGATCAGCTTGTGGAGAAGTTTGCTTCTGGTATCTCTATGGTCACTTCCTTGGCCTTAGCTGTATCTTACCCTACCCTTGCTGCTGCACCGCATATGTTCATCAATGCCTACAAGAATGCCTTGGCTATTGCTGTTGCCACTGAGTACACCTTCCCTCAAGCAGAGAAGGTTAAGGAGTTCTTGAAGGTTAGTCATTAAATTTTGCATCTTTTCATATTATTTCTGAAGCTGGGAGTATTGATTTTGTTAATGTTAATTCTCGGCCGTAAATTTGTAATGCAGGATCCTAGCAAGTTTGCTGTTGCTGTAGCAGCTGTGTCTGCGGATGCAGGTGGTGGTGCTCAAGCTGCAGCTGCTCCTAAAGTAGAGGAGAAGAAAGAAGAATCTGATGAAGAAGACTACGACGGTGGTTTTGGTTTGTTCGATGAAGAGTAGATTTTGTCTATCAAGGTTTTACCTTTTTGTCATGACTGATAAATGTTACTTCGTTTTTAGAATGTTTACCTCAATTTTCTTGGTTTTGGCCAGTTCAGATTTTTATGGTACTGTCTTTTATTATGGAGTTTTCAATATTTTTTTTGGGTGTTATGGCCAATTATGTTTTTTTAGCTCCAACTTCTGTTCATTTATGTGCCGTACACGAGTGTGTTTAATGACACCAACGCGATATAGTACTATTGAACCAGTAATATATAGGTAGTAAATAAGATTTCGTAAAGCAAATCTTCTTATGATATAGTATAGCATTCTGAGTCTTTATAATTAGGGGAAAATATTTTGAGGAAAGTGGACATAAATCTCACTATCGAAGATTAATTGTTGCGAATCAAGAGAGATATCATGAAACAGCATTAAATATTATACTAACTTAGTCAGCAGTGAGAGTTTGAGTGTGTCTGAGTGCGAATCAAGGTATTTCTGCATGAGTTAATGGTATTTTACTCTTTCCGTTAGCTTTCTTCACATAAGTCCACACAAGAAGAAGAAAACAAAACTAACACTTCTTAAAAAATGGGATGCTCGTCTTTGTAGCCATTAAATAAAAAGACTTTGTCTTGGTTTAATCCCAAATTAAGCTATGGTGATGTTCAAAACCCTCTCTTTTCTGTTCGTTTTATGCTTTGAGATATATGGAACCGCAGGTGTGAATTTCACGTTTTTGTATCTCTGGACAATATGCGGTGTTAGGCGGTCAACGGCGGTGGTTCCAGAGGAATGTGCTATTGAACAAGGCAAGAAGTAATGAGGAGTTTGGTTTGGCTCCCTTTAGTTTATCTTATCTTTCTTTAGTGATGATTCTGTTTGTCTCCTTAGTTGCAGGTTTTTTTATGGGTTACCACATGTATAATCACTATGATAAGAAGCAAGCGATCTTGCAATATTAACTTAGTTTTAGCCTTGTAGGTGTTGTTCTTGATCCATTTGAATAATGAGTCCTGCATTTAACATGTTTTCTGTTTTTCGATCAGAATTAAGCAGCAGGACACACTTTGTCCTCTTCTCATTTTGATGTTTACTGCAACAGATTAATGTGAACTGAGTTATAAAAAGTTTTTGTTTAGTCATCTCGTGAACACAGATTATATCTCTAGAAAGAAGACAACAGTCACATGTATCATCAGTTGCCATTTGCTTTTATGGCCCATATTGAGGTCAGGTTCACTAGGAATCATCTGGAGAGCAACTGGAGTGGTAAGCTTCACAAACATCCAGGTCGATTTCCCCAGTTTTAACCACAAGAGGTAGTTCCTGGTAAGCGCGGAGTAGAGGGGGTAAGATCAAAGCAGACTTATTATCCATTGCTACTAGTCTTCCACATTTACTGCATGAGAAGAGATGTAAATAGTTTAGTCCATAGCAAACATTAGTTTTATAATATTCCAGAAGATTTACAGAGAGTGGCTTAGTACCTGCATGGTTTGCTATATAGGGATTCAAAACTGCATATCCATAGCTGCATTAGAAGAAAATAAAGGTGTTAATTGGATCCAAAAGAAAGAAACTATTCATGTTATCCAGAGAGTGATGTGTCTTTGTAAAATGCTTTACCAGAAGAGAATAGAGAGCTGTTCCCGTACCAAAGCCGAGAAAATATTGCAAGGCCGTAGCAGCATGTTCCTGCAAGAAACTTCAATTAATGCTAGTTCCCAATCTATCAATTCTGTGAAAATTTATATGTCACACCAATTGCAGTCTCTGTTACCGTGATTTGTTTGAACACATGATAAACTGAGACTCCTCTCGCATGTAAGTAGCTACCTCCCTGTAAGGAAGGGATGAAGCAAAGACATGAATACTTAAGACCATTTTATTTGAGAATCAGTATATGTTAATGGAGGGAGATTGGAAGTTACTTCATCAGGAGAAAAGAATGCAACTGCATCTGGATCAACAGAACCAGCTGGATTCAATGAGACTACAGCTCTGAATAAAGATGGAAATGATAATTCAATTACAGCAACCTTATCAACAATTTCGTTCTGTAACCCTGATCTCAGTTTACTGGAACTCTGGAAAATAGGTTTCGATCCTTCTGTTGAATCATCACTATTTGACCCAAGTAAATAATTAGCTCTCTTCAGCCAGTTCAAGCGTCCGTAAGTAGACACCTTCACATCCGGGACCAGCTTCTCTAAACGTGACTGTATCTCTGGCAAAGTTTTGTAATCAACCGGCTCCTCTCTTCCATTTTCTAATAGCAAATGGGAGGCACAAAGTTTTTTCGATTTTGGTTCCATCTTTAATCCATCATCAATGTGAGGGAAGAACCGTCTTTTCTGATCCGTGAATGCCTTAAGAGCTAACCTACAGTCATTAAGAGTCAAACCAACATATCATGAGTCAAAGTTTTAACAAACCAGAAGGAAAACACCATTACTCACAGCACTATGAAATTGCATAATGCATGACATTTTGTAAAACTGGTTAGCTGATGAAACTCCATATTGGTTCACCAAGCTTCAATAAACTTCACAATCATTCTTTAAGACCCAATAGACTATTAAGGAATGATGGAGAGAAAAACCAAAATCCTCCCGGAGGAACTAACACCCAAAATGAATCTTCAAATTTGAAATGTAGAGTCGAACTAAACACTGATTATGCTTAAAGTCATTTGCAACAATCTCCTACCTGGTTCTATCAACAGCAGAAGCACCAGCTTGTCCAGCAAGCTGTCTTTTCCAAGCATAAGCAACGACTGCACCATCTGGACAAACCAATGGCATGTGAAGACCCCACGAGTTACTTCTTGACCTAAGAGACTCAGTTAACACTCCAGATTCTTCCAACTTCTTCCCTGAAACAAATGAACATAATTGCGATCCTTCAAAGCTGAACCAAACTAGAATACCAATAGTAATGAAATTATCCAATTTTGTTTCACATGTAAGTACCGATTAAGCGGAGATCCTGAAGATGTTGGCGCATGGAGGCGTCTTCTCTGAGGAAGAGCTGAAGGGGCATATCGGTGTGACGAGGTTGAGAAGCCACGAACATTGCTTCAAGGATACGGTCTGCACCGAGGCGGATATCGGCGATAACCCTAGCCGCTTGATTAAGTCGTTCCATGGCCTGAGCCACCTGTTTCGGCGGCGCGTCAGATTCTGACTGATTGTTCGCCGGCTCGGCCGAGTTCTGGAGAAGTTGGGACTGGTGTAGTGTCTGCATAAGCTGTGATGGAGGATTCAGACTCTTTATCTCTCTCGATTTCAATTTTTTTGATTTCAATGAAATTGATGTTCTTGACGACGACGGAAGGAGGAGGATTATTTCTGGACTGAGAGAAAGAGAGAGAGAGAAAGAGATGTTCACGTTCGAGTCTGAAAGTACTCTATTTTTGAAGCTGGAAACGCTAGACGCAATAGACGCAATTTTATAGCTTTTGCGTTTTAAACGCGTTTTATTGATCTGCGTTCTTCTGCAGTTCTGCTCCTCCACAGGCAGTCCTGCACTCTCAACTCTCAAGACTCAATACATGTCTGGTTTTATATAATTTGTCTAACCTTCAAATTTGTTTTCAATCTGAGTTAAAGAAGACCAATCAATTATGAATTTCTTATTTTCCACAACATGTTACCTTTCAAAATACAAAACTTTGAAATAAATAAATCCACAAAAAGTTTTGATTTTTGGAAATATGGTTTTAGCTGAGTATGACTCATTGGTAAACTACAATGCAAGTTGCAAAGCAGAAGATACATATCCGGAAATGCAGATGGACCTAAGAGACTCTTCACGTTGCTCTTTCTTATTCCTATTTCCCTGAGTACACTTCATGTTCTGTTGATGGCTTGATGTCGAAAGCTGAAACCAATCTTGTTCACATAAATCATGGATGAAGTTATGAGACGTGTTAGCCGATAAATTGTCCTGTTAGATCCCAAGGCCGAGTTTCATATGACTTCCCAATGATGCTTCGTTTGTCGCTCACAGTTCCATCTTCTGTTTGGTACTCTGGAAAGTAATCAATGAATGTTTTTGTGCCTAACTCATCTACCCCACTGAATAGGAAATCCCTTAGCAGCTCCTGATTTTGTTCAAATCATTTATTAACATCTTCACAAATTAATAGGGGTAACAAGTGAAACATTAATGGGATCAAATCTTTTATACCTTTGCTTTTACTTCACCAACTAATCTTTTAAGAAGACCATGTCCAGGATCCTGCAAACACAAAACAAGATGCACTGTAACAATACAGATACAATGTCTGTTCAAATTTTAAACATGCAAAATTACAAAGGAAATTAGATCACCTTCTGTGCTCGCCATGTCAGGTATTTGTGTTGGGCCTCACGATTGGCTCTCACCTGAGATGGCTCCATCTCCTCCCTCACTTGGATCGTCATCTCAAGCCATGCCTGTGGGAATGAAAAGTGATAGATCCAGTAATGTTTCCACTAAGACCTTAGCTTTAGGCAGTACACAAACCCAAGTATACCTGATAGTACTCAACGAACGCAGAGAATAAAGCCTCATGTTTTTCTTGGCTAGACGAAAACCTGGTCCACATCACCAAAGGCGAGAAAAACTTTAGGGATTCACCAGTCAGTTTTCCTCCCCATGGAAAAGTCTGCAAAGAAGCTTCAAATCAGTCATCTATATGCGCATTAGTTTTAGCTGCAATTGAGTGATTTAGTGTTTCTACTCATATCTTACACTCACCTCAGCATATTTGTGATATATGGACATTATGTTGTTATAATACTTGCCTTGGTAATCCGTCTGGTCAGTCAACTGATGCAAAGGATTTAGGTCCCTAAAGAGGAGCATACAGTAAGTTTTTGAACATGTAGAGTCCATGTTGGGAAAATACAGAACTGATAACTCCAGCATAACTAGAATAAAAAAAAAAGGTAACTTACAACACCACTATGTTCGTGTTGGCAGATGTGAAGAAGTTAGCACAGAATATGGGCACATCATACTCAGGCTCCATGAAACCCGCAAAGTCAAAGACCTGCACATCATACACACAAAAGAAAAATAAGAAAAGCGACAAATTCGAACAATCAATCATTCGATGGTAAGGAATGAGGGATAAAGCGATCAATTAGTACACAGATACTGCTGCAGTTAAACCTGCATTGTCTCATTCTCGATGGCCATGCTCCGTAAGAGTCTAATCTTTGAAGATTTGAAAGCAAGCATTTGAAGTTCAGTTTTCCCATCCAGTCCTGTCATGCTGCTATACCTTTTCTGAAACAGTTCGAAGATTAGGAAACAAAGTCCAAAGGGTTATCCAAGCAGCATATGCAGTGAAGTCAATAAAGCACTCATAAAATCTGTCCCAGGCTGGAATTAGATAACTGTTTAAACACAAATCAGTTCCCTGTATCCTTGATCCTTGGCGTAAGATGAAGACACCATCATCTCAGGCAAATGGAGATTTAAATTACTATATTTGTTAAATAAATGCCACAGCTAAGTATATAGGGACCATTACTAACTCCACTAGAATCTCTGGTATTGGATAAACAAAACAACAGCTAAGGATGTTCTTCAAAAACCATCAGAAAACTTGAAAAACTTGCCCTTTTTTACAAATCCTAATAACCAACTCAACTCAATTCAACCAAAATACACAGTTTGATGATTAGATAATCATCACTCTACAGTAACGAAGTGTAAAACGCATAAACCTGGAGAGGTGAAGGTTCAAGAACGATCCTTTTCCTGGTTTCTTCCAGAGCAGACTCTGCAAATTCCTTATACGACACAGCAGAGACTTTAAATAAGAATCTTTTACTTCTCCTAGTTAACATGAAATTGGTCTTCTTAGGGATTGCCGAGATTAGGACAGGTGTGCTTGCTGCCTTGAAGCAAGACCCAATTGAAAATCCAAACTCCATTGACAAAGCCATTACAACACTCACAAACTGATAACTAAGGTCTCCTTCCTCTGTCCCTCTCCTACGCTCACTTCAATTCTTCATACTGTGACAACTTACGCGAACAAACGCAATATCGCAACGACGACAAAGGTTAGCAAAGCAAACCGGCGAACAGATTGAGAAACGGACGAATGTGAGTATATCTCCGTCCGAGAGATAAATCCAACTATATCAATAGAGCTAATATTGGTTGACCGAAAAAATAAAATAAAAATAGAGCTAATATTAAAATATACATAAAATAGTCCCACCTGTATATTAGCCCAAATATTCAGTTTGTTCTGTCTCATCATTGCTTATTTCTTACCTATATGCATCATATATTTGCAAAACCAGTATATTAGCCCAAACTGAATACAAATCTGAATCAGATTTTAGAAGAATTTAGAAGGAGAAGTGTAAAGGTTTCTCTGTATTTGAAAACAAATCTGAATCAGATCTTCGACCAAATCTGAATCTGTATTGAAAACTCATGAGGGTCATGGGGAAGTGTAAAGGTTTCTCTATCTTGTTGATTTTAACATTTATGGTTATTGATTGTAACACCCTATGAAACCCCTCTTGGCACTAGATAGAGGGGAATATTAATGCAGTGACTAAAGCAGCCGTAGATGCTAAGTTTGAACTTATTGGAGGTAAGTAGGCGGCTTCTTCTCTACTCGATGCAATTTTTATGGAAAATATACACAAGACATGGGAAAGATGTATATTCAAACTCATGCGGGCATAGGAAAGCGCAAAGGTTTGTGGAATAGATATTATGAAAACTCTCAGAAAATACAGTATATAAAGATGGAGATCACTAGAACCGTCACTAAGACAAAACATATTGCCTTATAAACCATTTGCCTTCCTTTTTTCGGTTTTTGATCTGCCTTGATCTTTTGATGGCTAATAACGCTGCAAAACCGAAGTTTAGCTTGAGACTTCTCATTGATGAGGAGAAAAACAGAGTTGTTTTGGCTGAAGCTGGGAAGGATTTTGTTGATGTACTCTGTAGTCTTTTGACTCTCCCTATGGGTACCATTGTAAGGTTGCTGGAGAAGCATCAGAATCCGCAGTCTTCAATCGTTGGTTGTTTCCACAACCTTTACAAAAGTGTTTCAGGAATGGACGTTGATAACTTTGAGACTCACGCTTGTAAGAATTTGTTGATGTATCCACGGAGTGCTAAGGCGAGTTATTGCAGAAAGCTAAAGCTGAACATTGATGACACAGAGGTGACCAAGTTCTTTGTCTGCCCGAATTTTATATCTACTGAAGCATGCTCTAAGAAATACAGTAATGTTAGTACCTCGAGGTGTAGTTGTGGAAGCTCAATGACCCGCGAGATTCAGGTTGAAGGAGAGCAAGCTGATGGTTGTTTAGGAGACAAAGCTGACGGAGTATTTGTCAGCTGCCGAACGTCATTTGTCATCACCGATGATCTGAAAGTGGCATTGAACTCTATGGGTCTTGTGCTGAACGTCCTCAATGACCTTGGCTATGCTGGTTTTGATAAGCTGCAAGAAATGGTTATTGATGTTGGTTTTGAAGAGGTACTTATATTTTGTATTGGTATTATTTTGTACTTTGCTTAATTACAACTTTCTTAATAAGTCTCCTTTATGTATTGTTTATAAACTTGCAGGTGCTAACTTTGCTAGGCTGTTTATTCACTTCTGAAGCTCCTTTGACAGACTCATTACTGAGGAAACATTGTATGGCAAGGAAACGTAAAATGTTGACACCTTCGGTGCAAGAAACTGGAATTACTACAGGAGAAGCTGACAAACTTTTAACTTTGAAAGTTTACGTTAGAAAGACAGACAGGGTGATTCTTTATGCAGAGTGCAGAGAAGATTTTGTTGATTTTCTTTTCACTTTTCTAGCCATCCCGCTTGGGTTTGCTTGGGAACTTTCTCTTGACAATGTGAATATGGGCTGCGTTGGTAATCTGTGCAGAAGCCTGAAGGGGTTGAGCTTTGAGCAGCCGGAAAAATCCAAAGTTTTCAAATTCGTGCTTCCTTTTTTTTACGATTGTCGACCACAATTCCTTGATGTTGATGTCGAGGAAATTCCCGAGTATGAATGTTTAATTAACAGAAAAAGTTATGGTTGTAGCAAGCTCTGCAAAAAGTATCAGAAGAACGTGCTGGCCCAAGGTGAAAGAATTGCCAAGATGATTTCAATGGATTCAAAAATCAGTGTCGCTTCAGATTCAACTAGTATGAGACTTGTGAAGGGAGAAACGAATTTCATAGTTTCAGATGATCTGGTTGTCAATCCTATGAACTCGTCCTCAACCGTTTCATTACTAAGCAAGTTGCAGATGAGCATTAGCGATATCGAGGAGCAAGTGATTAGCTTTGGCAAATCTGAAGTACGAGACCCTCTGCATTCTATCATCTAATATTATTGGTTATTGATAAAAACAATTACTTATATTTTCCTTTAATGTCTCTGCTTGTGTTTGCAGGCCACCAGCTTGCTTAGAGCTTCCTTGATCACAACCTCAGCCTTAACCAATGGTCTCTCGAACTTTCTCTCAAAGGTGAAGCCAACAGAAGGAACTCCATCGACATCTAAGATACCAAAAATCTGAAAATACCCTTTGAAGGCGCATGTTATGGCCATTTGAGTCTGCAATTGTTGTTTTTTTATTAGATTATTATCTCTTTGTCTTCCTTTTCCATCTGATAAAACTATCATGGTTCTGTCACAAATCTTCTTTTAAACCTTCTGGCAATCTCATATTCAGAGTTTGCAATCTTTATATATCACACAAATGGTGAAGGTAATTTATACACTGACCACCTCGTACTCATTGATTTTAACAAACATGAAGTTGATTAAGTACCAATTTACATTATCGTTAGCAGTTATGCATGATGATACACTTCCGACCAGTATTTGTATTTTAAACCGTAAACGTCTTGGCCTCTCATCGGTTTTGTGAATTTCTGTAGAATCTTTGTAAGTGTTCTCACTTCTGCCGCGAATGAGCCTTGTAGTGTTTACATTTTTTTTTTTTGGATCAAACTAGTGTTTCCATTTAACTCGTATGAACTCGTAGTATTATTCTCCTACCCTCTTCAGACAATTAAGTCCAAAATGTCTTCATATTATTTTTTTCTACATAAATATTATTTGTTTATATTCTCCTTTTTCTTCCGCTGCCATTTGGTAAATTAATCCCCCTCATTAAAACGAGAAAAAGGTTATGTTAATTCATTTATTTTTATTATCAAAGGATCACTGTATTCTGTATCTTTTCATTAGTTTGGTTTACCAATATGTATGTGTTTTTGCTTCGACGGACCAAGTATAAATTGAAAGACTTGGTCGGATTCTCTTTCTCTCACCTTTCTCAACTACTCTCTCTCTCTTCCTTTCGTGTAATTTCTCTTTCTCTCTCTCTCTCTCTCTCTCTCTTTAGGGTTTCGATTTCAATTTTTTTTCCACTGAACCCGCGATTGAACTGAACCTTCATCCTCCTTCGCCATCTCAGGTTGATTCAACGGAGCTAACTTGTTTCAAAGAACCCTGTATCTTGCTTTCGATTCTCCGGAAGCTTTGTGTTCCGTTGGAGATTCCTCGGATGCTCTTGGTTTGTTTTCTCACTTGTTAGTCTTTCGCCTGATTTGGTGTCGAGATGTTTGCTCGAATTTGAAATGCCCGTCTGCGATTTCGTTTATTCGTCTCTTCTAGGGTTTTATTTTTCAGTCATCTGTTTGGTAGTCGAGATAAGTCGGAGAAGGAAACTGAGTTTATGTTGATATCTTGCTCGGCTTTGGATTCTTATTTGTTACATCTTACGGCTTTGTCTCTCGCGATAGAGAGAATTGGGCAAAGTTTTTTGAGTTTGCAGTCTGGTCTGTGGTGTCTTTATCCCGCGGCTGCTAATATCTTGCTTTTCTCATGCTTTCAGACATGACTTAGGCAGCTTCTTGCAGAGGAACGAGGTTTTAGGTTAATGCTGTTCATTTGCCCTTGAATGGTTGCTACGATGGACTTAAATGCTTCACCCCAACCCGAAGAAGACGATGAACCCTATGTGAGACATCTAGAAGACTATTCGTCCAGGGATGACCGTATAGAGTCTGCAGTTGAAATCGCAAGACGGGTACTATTGATTTTCTACTTTTATAATTGATCGATGTAGTCACTATAATGCTGGACACTTTAGGAAACAATGAACCTAATGCCATTGTTCTTCTGGCATCTCCGATAAAGTATCACCACATAATTTCTTATCTGATTATTGGTTTTCTTATGTTTTTGTTTCAGGAACGTGAAGAAAGACGTAAACGAATGAGATATGACAAGCCAACACATAACTCCCAGCCAGTTTTCCGCGATCAATATTATCAGAATCGAAATACCAAAGCTTATGATAGATACAAGATCCCTCAAGGTGATATTCCTTTGTTGAATTAATGCGTATTGTAAACATGGCTAATATTTATTCCCAGCTATAAAATATTTTGGCTGAAATTTGTGGTTTAGCTAGTATCTGTTCTTTCTTTCCCTTTAGGCCAATTCTTTATATAAGGTGACGTTTTGATAGCCTGTCCGATATCACAGGTTGGCTAGATTGCCCTCCTTCTGGACATGAGATAGGATTCCTTGTTCCTTCAAAAGTTCCCCTGAATGAATCTTACAATAATCATGTACCTCCTGGAAGTAGATACTCTTTTAAACAGGTGATACATAACCAGAGGATAGCTGGGAGAAAGGTAATTTGATGATAATATGAGTATGTATTATCGTCTACGCAACACTAGTATGACCGTGGTCTTAAGTTATCTTGTATTGTCACTGTCTTATCCAGCTTGGTCTGGTGATTGATTTGACAAACACAACTCGTTACTATTCTACGACAGACTTAAAGAAAGAAGGCATTAAGCATGTGAAGGTAAACAGATTACATACTTTTCTATACTCATGTCCTCGGTGATGGCTGTAAGGGATTTTTTTATCTGTAGTTTTCTTTGCTTGTAGATTGCATGCAAGGGTCGTGATTCAGTGCCCGAGAATGTGTCTGTCAACACGTTTGTCAATGAGGTATTTCCAGCCAAAATGAATCATAAATGTTTACCTGAACTTGTATTTTATTCTTTTAATTTTCTTAGAAATTCAAAATTTTGTCTAATCTTACTAGCGTTCTAAAAAAAAACTGTCTCCAGGTTAATCAGTTTGTCCTAAATCTGAAACACTCAAAAAAGTATATTCTCGTCCACTGTACACATGGGCATAATCGGACAGGGTTTATGATCGTTCATTATCTTATGCGATCTGGACCGATGAATGTTACACAGGTGAGTGTTTTTCACTTCTCTCGTTGCATTTGTGCACTTAATGTATGTCTTAAGAGTAAAAAGTCTTATATCATTATGGTTTCTGTCAGGCATTAAAAATCTTTTCTGATGCACGTCCACCTGGAATCTATAAACCAGATTATATTGATGCCTTATACTCATTTTATCACGAAATAAAACCTGAAAGCGTCATTTGCCCATCAACTCCTGAATGGAAGAGGTCTACCGAGCTTGATTTAAATGGTGAAGCTTTGCCAGATGATGATGATGATGATGGCGGTCCGGCAGGTCCTGTGCAAGTAAGTTCAGTGTTTACAAATGTATTTAGCTGTTCACGTAAATACAGAAACCATCATTCCTATGATAATTTTGTACGTTACTTTAAGCATCGGACTTGTCTTTTCCTGTTTACTAGCCGGAATTATCTGAAGAACAGCTTAGTTCTGAATTTCAACATCAGACTCGTTGTTTCTATGCTATTTTATGATTTTGAAGTGATCTTTGTATGTATTGCCTTGCCTAAAGAAAAATAACCATTGAAATGGGTTTAGGTAGATTCCATTACTCGCGAATCAGTTTACCAGGAATTTAGCTACTGTTGCGTATTGATGGGTGCAATTGAGTTTATATAAGGCTGACAAAACTCATTTAAGTTTTCATTTGGTTTCCATGCTTTTATAATGGTTTTATTTATTGTTTTCTTACTGCCTTACGATTCAGGAGGGAAGCCATCCGGTGGATGTGAAGATGTCAAATGATGACATTCTAGGTGATGAAATACCCCCTGACCAGGAAGAAGGTTACCGGCAATTCTTTTATAGGATGTTATCGTTGAATATTGGGGTAGGTAATTTGAAATCTTGTTATAGGATGTTCACACAGAATATTATGTATTTAAATCTATGAGTAACTCACACTTGGTATTCAGTTTCAATTTGCTTTGGTATAATTGCCTTTTTATCTCGTGATCCATGCCTCTTATTTGTTGTTGCACATCCTTCTATAATGACCCAACTTTAGAAAACTACAGAAGTAGAATGTGGTAACATGAGTTTTGGTTTGTTTAGTATGCTTTTTCCTCATTTGGCTAGATCGATGAGGATAAATTTCTTGTTTTCTTTTATCCATTTTCGCAATCTAAAATTTGCTTGCTGATTCATTTATTTATTTTTATCTAGGGAAGAGGATGTTCACAATTTCCAGGTTCACACCCTGTCTCCTTAAACAGGTATGAATCTCTGCGTTACTATTTGAATGAATTATTGCACCTCCTTAGTTTTGGGCTCAATTTTTCCAATTTACATGCTAGTCTTAATTCATCTGTTTACTTGTGGTAAAACAGGGAAAATTTGCAACTCTTGAGGCAGCGGTACTATTACGCAACATGGAAAGCTGATGGAACGCGATATATGATGCTGCTAACCATAGATGGTTGCTATCTAGTAGATAGAAGCTTTAGATTCCGGAGGGTACAGATGCGGTTCCCCTTCAGGCACCCAACTGAAGTGAGTAATTTTCCAACTTTGTTGGGTGGGATGTGTACTGATATCTGTACAGCACTAGTGATCTTTCGTACTTATGTGGTTTCCAGGGCATATCTGATAAAGTGCACCATTTCACGTTGCTTGATGGAGAAATGATAATCGATACCTTGCCAGATAAACAAAAGCAGGAAAGGAGATACCTAATCTATGATATGGTAGCAATCAACGGCCAATCAGTTGTAGAGGTTGGAACTGTCGTTATTTTATTTCTGTGATCGATAATAGTTGGATTGTTGGCTCCCTTGTTTTAAATTATATCAAAGGGATCTCAAGCTCCTTAGTCCAAAAACTTAGTATGTATTGAAGAACATTGTATATACTGGAGCTGCCATGACCCTCATAATAGAATATTGAAACATTCGAGAAATTGAACAGTATTTAGGCTCGGCTAACTGCCGTTCTTAGCTTAGAGTGTTTGTCGTTTTCCATGTTTTCTTTTAATTTTTTTTCTCGTTGGGAATTATGAATATATATGATCCCTGTGTTCATGAAAGCATCCGACTCCGGTGGTGTGTATTACATGCAAATAAGTTACATCATTTTTCGCAGTTGTCCGGTATTCTTTGTTGCTGACATTTAACCTTGACATAATCGGTTTACCAGCATACACATCTTGTCAGTAGTAGTGTAGCAACCAGTTGTGTTTGGCTTGCCACATCATGTGTCATTATCTTAAGATACTAATAGAAAGTTTCACTATTCAAAAATGGACCAGAGGCCTTTCTATGAGAGATGGAAGATGCTCGAGAAGGAGGTGATTGAACCCCGTAATCATGAGAAGGCCAGAAGTCATATATACAGATATGACCTTGAGCCTTTTAGGGTGCGTGTTCAGAGTTGCAATTTTTCTTTAATCTTTTTCTTTGTCTGAACTGTTCATGGAGCTGATTTTTTTGTTACACCTAGGTGCGGAGAAAGGATTTTTGGTTGCTTTCTGCGGTTGAGAAGGTTTTGAAGGGTTTCATACCCTCACTCTCACATGAAGCTGACGGCCTAATCTTTCAGGTAACCATTGGACTGAAGGGTCTTTGATGTTAGACTTTAGGTCTGAAGACTATTTTTATTCAGTGGAAGAGCGAATCTTGTCTTCCAAATAAAAATCTAAGATCTAATTCTTTGTCAACAGGGCTGGGATGATCCTTATGTTCCCCGCACCCATGAAGGTCTGTTGAAGTGGAAGTATCCAGAGATGAACTCAGTTGACTTTCTATACGAACAGGATGAGAGTGGCCGTGGAATGCTCTCCTTGTTTGAAAGAGGGAAGAAGAAGCATATGGATGGGAATTCTGTTGTTTTTAGAGGTGTGCATCCCCACTTTTATTTATAATTAGTAATAAAACACTGTCAACCATAACTTACTCTCTGTTATGTCTAAGACCTACAAGCTACTAATACTGAAACTGCATCAGATGACTCAGACCCTGCCGAGTATTCTGGGAAGATTGTTGAGTGTTCTTGGGATCAGGATGAGAAAGTCTGGGTAAGCATGCGGGTCAGGGTTGATAAATCAACGCCAAATGATATCAACACTTACAGAAAGGTCAGTGCTTGTTATAAACTTATAACTAACCTCCCTTTATATACTTGATTGTATCTTTTGGATTCATATCTCTTAGTTTTTTCATTAGTGGTTGACGATCATACTTAATAACAAACTTTCCTGTCGGATATAACTGAACATTTCTTTCTGTCTTTTGATTTTCTGTTGGCTTTCCTTTACATCTAAAGGGTTTCTTGCTGCTAACTGGTTTCTTCTACTGAAAACATCCTTCAGCTACTTAATTTACCAATAATCATATCAGTGTACCATCTTATAAATTATGTGTCTCTTTCATCTTCTATGACCAAAGAAGAGTATAAGGTTCCTTAGCTATATGCAAGTGTTACCTGGTCTGATAGGGTAAAGTCTAAACCATTGTGGATGTAAAAATAGGTGATGAGAAGCATAAAGGACAACATCACAGAGGAGGTGTTGCTGCAGGAGATAAGGGAGATCATCCGTTTGCCTATGTATGCAGACCGTATTCAAATGGATAGCAAGGCTGCGCGCCGCAGATGAAACAATGTCTGTTTGTTTCTGTCAATGCACATCAGGCTGAATCAAGGACAAAGACATCTGTGGATTGGCAGCGGTAATGCTTTTACTTCACTTCTTTGCGAATTCGGGGTGCTTCTATACTAACATTGTATGTAAGGAGAAAGAAGGAACGCTGCATCTCACGAATGTGTAAGAATCCCGGGTTCGAGAAGCTTTTAGGGTTTATTAAGAATCAAAATTCCGTTTGGGATATGTGATGATGTGTTAGGTGTGTTTACTCTTCTAAGTGATTCATATGTTTAGATGGAAAAGGTGTTTGTGATAGTACTTAGGAAGGATAAAGTTGTAATCTTTTAGTATTAGTATCATATCATTATTATTGGTTCTATACTACTTCAGAATCAGAAGACCAATTCGATGATCGAGATTCGAGACTGTATCATCATCATATCATTCCGATTCTCGTTGTGATCAATCTCAATCATTTGATGTGGATCGTTCACAAATCTTTTCACATATACATAATACAGAAGAATTATGAAAAAATACAAAAACAACATAAGCCCACTAGGCACCAGTGACCCATGTATTCAACACAATCAAAACATTCTAAGTGTAAGTGGAAGAAAGAAAATGGTTGACGTTTCTCATATTTGTTACTAAACAGCGAGCTGTTCCATGCGTTTAATTTAGATAAAAACGGCAAGCAGTTTGCTCTTCCCTGCGTGACTGGATTTCGCCGGCTGCGATCTCCACACAGAGACAGACAGTATCAGGCTTCGTCTCATTCTCCTTCTCGATCTCTCCTTTTACACTCCCCATCCCAATTCCCAAAACCCTAATTTTTGGATTGGGGTTCTTCAAAATCTCATCCACATAATTGGATTCAGTTCTTCGATCCTGAATCGGTTGTAATTTTGTGCAAGGGAATAGTCAAGTATTCGCAGAGTGAGCTCATATGAAATCGCGAGCGCGGCAGTGTCTGCTGGTTTGTTTGCTCTGTCTTACCTTAACGAATCCCTCCTATGGAGAAAACAAGTTCAGAGAGCGTAAAGCCACCGACGACGAACTGGGCTACCCCGAAATGTAAGTTTTCGATCTATATGGAGTGGTTGGTAGACGATGCAACGCCTCAATTTGATCGAAGTGTGCGTTTTGTTCCCATAACTCGTACTGTTGATTGTTGGAGATATTTTCTTTGCTCGTCAAGCTCTCTGTTTGGTTTCTCCGATTTATGTTTTTTTTTTTCTGGGTCGTTTCGTCGTGCAGTGATGAAGATGCTTTATTGAATACTCAGTGCCCGAAAAAATTGGAGCTGCGATGGCAAACTGAAGTCACTTCTAGCGTTTATGCTACACCCTTGATTGCTGATATTAACAGGTATGATCTATCTCTCCCACCAATTTTGTATGTTGGTTCTGTTTTAAAATCGTACTTACGATTAGGTGTTTACGTTCTTGAATTGTTTTTCTTTTCTTATTTTTTGAGGATCATCAGTGCTGGTTCCATATTTTGTGCTTTAAGCAGGCTTTTGTTTTGGTTTTTATTGCAGTGATGGGAAGCTTGACATTGTTGTTCCATCTTTTGTTCACTACCTCGAAGTTCTTGAAGGAGCTGATGGAGACAAGATGCCAGGTACAGGATATCTTATCTTAGCTTTTTGAACATTTTCTCTTGTTCTTTTTCATTTGACGCGGTAGATTATTGAGGACTTTGAAAAAGTTACTGATGCTCTCATAAAATGCTAGGTTGGCCTGCTTTTCACCAGTCAAATGTGCATTCGAGTCCTCTTCTATTCGATATCGACAAAGATGGTGTTAGAGAAATTGCTCTGGCTACCTACAATGGCGAAGTGCTATTTTTCAGGTAATTGTTCCTCTCATATGATGGATATACTTTTATCTGTAATCATGATCCTTGGAATTTTGTGTGGTCTCATATGATACTTTTTTGTTTCCAGGGTATCAGGCTTTCTGATGTCAGATAAGTTAGAAGTGCCACGTAGAAAAGTGCACAAGAACTGGCATGTGGGACTGAATCCTGACCCTGTTGACCGTTCACATCCTGATGTCCATGATGATGAGCTTGTAAAGGAAGCTATGTCATTAAAATCATTGACCACTCGTAAGTTTATTACATTTTATAGATCAGTTTTCTTGTTTGCTGCTTAAGTTATGCCCATCGGCACATAATTCACTTGGTTAAGTTTATGTTCTTCATAATTTTAGATTTGGAGACGCTGAACTGCTAAAGATTGGTTGTGTGCTTTAGTTAATTGAAAGTGTAAAGCTAAGTTGTTGCTTTAAGTAGCTGCCTCAGCTAATCTGAAGAATCTTTGTCTTTGTATCTTGCATTTATTTTATGAATTACACATCTGTTGGGGCTCCCATCCTCGCTCTTAAGTATCTTCAGTATTATGAGGGTAGAAAAAAAATACATGGATTAGCAGAGTTGATTTAATTTTGATTAAAGTTTACTTTGTGACTCTCCCTTCTCCTATCTGTAGAAACAAATGCAACTACTACAACACCAAATGTTACAGTCTCGATGTCCAAAGAAATTCATGGTGGCGATTCTAACTTGACATCTCAAGAGGATCAAAAGAAACCCGAGAATAACCAAACAGAAGCTGTCGTAAAACCTACTCCAGAGCTACATAATTCCTCCATGGATCCTGGAGCAAATAACGCGGCAGCAAATGATACTACAGCTGGCTCAGCAGAAAAGCTCAATGGAAATGTAACCACCAATGAGGTGGATCAAAGAAAAGTTAGTGAAGATAAGAATGAAACTGTTATTAAATTAAATACTACTAAGGATAACTCCACAGAAACTCTGGGGACATCTGGAAACAGTAGTAAGACAGAGACAGTAACCAAAAGTGGGAGGCGACTTCTCGAAGATGATGGGTCTAAAGAATCTGCTGACGGCCATTCAGACAATAAAGACCTCAATGAGGGTATTCACATGGCCACAGCTGAAAATGATGGTGGCCTAGAAGCTGAAGCAGATTCATCATTTGAGTTGTTGCGTGATAATGAGGAGCTAGGTGATGAATACAGCTATGATTATGATGATTATGTTGATGAGAAAATGTGGGGTGACGAGGAATGGGTCGAGGGGCAACACGAGAATTCAGAGGATTATGTGAATATTGACGCTCATATACTGTGCACTCCTGTGAGTTTCAGCTATGTCAAAAACCATTGTTTATGATTTCATACTTCCATGAGAGATCTTACAGTATCATTTTTTATCAGGTAATTGCTGACATAGACAAAGATGGGGTACAGGAGATGGTTGTTGCTGTTTCCTATTTCTTCGATCCTGAGTAAGTTTATCTTTCACGCTCTAAATGTTCCCTAAATCTCTCAATGAAAAAGCATCATAAGTAGCTATTGCATGCATGAGATCTTAAACATCACAGTTTCCAGTGTATTCACATTGCAGGTTGGCTGACACGAATTGCTAATTTTCAGGTACTATGATAATCCAGAACATCTAAAAGAGCTTGGTGGTATTGACATAAAAAATTATATTGCTAGTTCAATTGTGGTTTTCAATCTTGAAACTAAACAAGTCAAGTGGATCAAAGAGCTAGATTTGAGTACGGATAAAGCAAACTTCCGGGCTTATATTTATTCTTCCCCAACGGTTGTTGATTTGGATGGTGATGGTTACTTGGATATTCTTGTCGGAACTTCCTTTGGCTTGTTCTACGCCATGGATCATCGTGGTAAGACCTCATGTTACTTCCTTCTGTTTATTTATTTCCGTTGATGAAAATTCTGCGTTCCTGCTACTCTTTTGATCAGCAATACTTCTATAGCTTTCACAGTCAATCCCACATTCACAAAGTTTGGATGTTAAGTTTGAATATTCCATCTCTCTGCAAGACAGCAGTTTCACTCTTGATAGATATTTAGATTCCTAATCATATTGATAGACGCTTTTTCTTACTTCCAATATTTTCTCATAAGTGTAACAATTCAGGACAAAACACAAGCCTTACAATACATTTTTGTCGCACTGGGTAATCATAGCAGTTTCCTTGCAATTCCCGATGTTTGTTTGGCTTTTAAGATTGTTAACTTTTTGCAGGAAATATCAGAGAAAAATTCCCACTTGAAATGGCTGAAATCCAAGGGGCAGTGGTTGCAGCAGACATAAATGATGATGGAAAGATTGAACTAGTAACTACTGATTCACACGGAAATATAGCAGCATGGACCACACAAGGAGTGGAAATTTGGGAAGCACATCTAAAGAGTCTTGTTCCCCAGGTAAAATTTTACCAACCGTTTATTTCTCATCAGATATAGAAAACTCTTATGCATGAACCAGTTGTAGGAGCATAGCTTTCATGAAAATTAACGGTGGGTAATTTTTAGTTTAAAATTGTGTTGTTAATTTTAAGTCACTAAATAAGAGCACACATCCTTTACCATGAAAACTGTCTCTGAATTGATCACTACACAATCAGTGATAGCCGCCAATCTTCTCTTGCAGGGTCCTTCTATCGGCGATGTTGATGGTGACGGACACACAGACGTTGTGGTTCCTACATCATCAGGAAACATATATGTTCTTAGCGGCAAAGATGGTTCGATAATCCGTCCTTACCCATACAGAACTCATGGAAGAGTGATGAACCAACTTCTTCTTGTCGATCTAAACAAGCGAGGTGAGAAAAAGAAGGGTCTCACCATCGTTACTACATCCTTTGATGGTTACTTGTATCTCATAGATGGACCCACCTCGTGCACTGACGTTGTTGATATTGGTGAAACTTCGTAAGTCTCCTTTGCTTCCTCTCGGCACATTAATATCTACAGTAGCTTTGGTTGTCCAGTGGATTTTGACCACCAGGCTGTTTCGAGTTACAGATACAGTATGGTCTTGGCTGATAATGTTGACGGTGGAGATGATCTTGATCTTGTTGTCTCAACTATGAATGGAAACGTCTTTTGCTTCTCAACACCTTCTCCTCACCATCCCCTTAAGGCAAGATCAACCCCGTACACTATTTTGAGCGGGTTTTGCTTAACGTCTTCTTGATTCTTATTTTAATAATGTGGTGGTTTATCAGGCTTGGCGATCTACTGATCAAGGAAGGAACAACAAGGCCAATCGTTATGATCGTGAAGGCGTTTTTGTCACACATTCGACCAGAGGTTTCCGTGATGAGGAAGGGAAAAACTTCTGGGCTGAGATCGAGATCGTTGATAAATATAGATACCCATCTGGTTCACAAGCACCCTACAACGTTACTGTAAGTTCCTCAATCCTCAATATATGGGCAATGACCTCTTTCTGAAACTAAACTAGCTGTTTTCAAATGGTACAGACGACGCTGCTGGTTCCAGGCAATTACCAAGGAGATAGGAGGATAACACAGAGCCAGATCTATGACCGCCCTGGAAAATACCGGATAAAACTACCAACAGTCGGAGTGAGAACAACAGGAACAGTAATGGTGGAGATGGTAGATAAGAATGGAGTCCATTTCTCAGACGAATTCTCACTAACTTTCCATATGTATTACTACAAGCTTCTGAAATGGCTTCTTGTCCTCCCTATGCTCGGGATGTTTGGTCTGCTCATGATTCTACGGCCTCAAGAAGCGGTGCCCCTCCCGTCATTTTCCCGCAACACAGACTTATGATGTTAGGGTACCATCTGGTAAACCGGATGTACACATCCTCATAGAGCTCATCTAAAGAATCCAGGGACAGTTTGGTGCTAGAGTTTTCAGGTTCTGTATCTTTTGAAAATCTGTAATTCTGACTTTAGAGTTAGATCAACTCTCCTCGGAGTTTATAAAGTTAATGCAGTACTAATGTGTCCAGGAATCCATTTTTGAACAAAGAAGATACAAAAGATCAATCAATTGTACGCAAACATAATAATTTCAGTAGGAGATTTTGATATCCTGAGATATGACTAAATTTAAACTATTTGTAGTCTAATGACTAAATTTCTTAGACGTCCCATTTTCAAACGAGAGATTTGTACTCGCAAACAAGGATTCCATTAAAAGTAATCAAGTGAGTATATCTATATCCAAACGCAGAACGCAATGGGAAGAATGAAGAACAATTTACACTGACACACACAACAAATCTTCTATCTTCAAGAGAGCTGCAACAATGGCCTCTTACCAAGCCTCTTCATCTCTCTCTCCATACTTCCTGTGAGCATCAGACTAAACATCTTGAGATCGCAGAGAAACGACCAAACCGGATGCCCGAAGCTCGCCGGAACATTCCCTTCCACGAAGAAGTGGCTGAACCACGCGAACCCGTAACCAAAGAGAGGCACCAGAGCAACGAACCACCAGCTGATCAAAACCGAACACATCAAAGCCACGATGCTCGCGATTATACCTATGAAGTGCCATCGCCTCGTTGATGGATTCGAGTGTTGCATCACGTAGAAGGGCCAGAACTCCTCAAAGCTTCTGAAATTCATCTTTTTCTCTCAAACAAAAGCCCTAATCCCCGATTTTTATAATGATCTCGAGCTTTTCCTCTGTGATTTCGTTTGTGAAAGCGAGAGAGAGAGAGAGAGATGTAGAAGATGAAACGAACCAAACATTTTTATAGTTCTCATAAAAAAATGGAAAGAAATCAACGGATAATTAAAAACCATTTTCTCAGGCCTTCAAAGCCCACATAATACCGGGGTCTCGTGAGTAAACATGGGCCGTTTTCAATATAATCGTGACAACAGGAAATGATTATCATAGTAAGAGAAACTAATTTTTAGGTTAAAATTAATTTAAAAAAACGGAAGAAATTAATGTTTTTTTAAAATCCATCGTTTAGAAATTGTTTCCCTCCTACATACACAGTAACGACAATCTCGTCACTCAGAAAATCCCCAGAATCACTCTCTCTCTCTCTCTCCCTCGTTAATTAGGGTTTCCGATTCCAAATCCCTCAGAAGTTTAGGGTTTTTTCTTCTTTTGTTTATACCTAATCGGAATGAAGCTGAATCAGAAATTAAAGAAGCCTTGTTCACCCACGAAGGTACGTCATATCAGTCACCAAATCTCGAGGCAAATGTATTCAAATTTTTGTTTGCTATTGCTCCCCTAGAAAAATTATAAATTGGGTTTTTGTTTATTTCTTCTTTGTTCCAGCTGGTTCTGCAAGAGATCATCGGTTTGACTGCAAAGAACGCCAATGGATTGGCCTCGGCTACTTGCAGCTCGAAATGTGTTTACTTGGCGGGATGCGTTGTGGTGGTCTACGATGTAGATTCGTGCACTCAGTCTCATCTTGTTGTATCTCATCGTATGCCTAAGCCTTTAAGTTGTGTTGCTGTGTCCCAGAATGGGCGGTTCGTAGCTGCTGGCGAGGTATGATTGAGTTCCCATTTTGCTATTTAGTCCTGTTATTATCAGTCAGTTTTTAAGATTAATGCATTTATGTAGAATATGGTGTCTTTTGTATCGTGATTTGGTTTCTGGTGTTTGGTTTGATCTTCTCAGTCTCCGAATCTCTCTGCAGTCTTGATATGGGACTGTGAGACTCTGGGACTTGTCTCGGAGCTGAAAGGCCATCTCTATGGAGCTCACTCTCTTTCCTTTTCACCAAATGGTTAGCTTTCCGTTCTTCTCTTGTTTCTCCAGTCGTCTTTAAGGTTCTTTTCTATTCTGTTTTCCTTACTTTATCATTTGCTTACTTTGGCCTTTAGGAGAATATTTGGTGAGTGTTGGTGGATACATATATCTTTGGGACTGGCGCAAAAGCATCTTGTTAGCCAAGGTCAAAGCCAGTTCTAATTGCTCTGAGATAACGTCTGTGACATTCTCAGCCAACGGAAAATTCATTGTTACTTCCGGGAACAAGCACTTGAAGAACTGGATAGTGGGTTCTTTTCAGAAGACACGTTCAAGTAAAGTTGGATCTGTGTCATTTCATGGAAAGCCAACTGATAATTTTTTTCAAAAAGGAAACTCCTTTGTATCAGTGATATCAGCCAATACTGGGAGTGACGAACAAACTGAAGAAGTTTTTTCAATATACGCTCTCACAGATGCAGGTATTCGCTCCACACAGTTATAACTGTTAATATGAGTTTTTCTTACACCCGTTCAAAAGACATTAGTAAATTAATTCTGTTCTGTAGGTGTTCTAATGCTCATGAGTTATGAGATGTTAATCAAGAAGTCGGTGGATCTGAAGGTACGGCAACTTTCATTTCGATCTTTTTCGTTGTCCATCTAGGAACCATGAGTTGATTACACAATGCTTAGCCGGCCCCCATCATTTAGACATGCTAAATAATCATATCCCATAGTCCAGAAGCATTGACTATATTTTCCTTGTGAGCCTAGGCTATAAGTTTGGTTAACTTGTATGTGTTGACTCTAGGTGGACAAACATCAATAAGTTTTCATGTTAGCTTTGGGAACATTCAGATACAAACCTTTCAAGCTTTTCTTTTCTTTTCATAACAAGAACTTCTTTCATTGGCTTGCAATGAACTGTCAGGTTGAAAAATGTTTTGCTCTTTCTGCATCCAGTCGGTTGATAGCATGCGCTTGCAGCAAGGGAACGGTCCAGCTATTTATGCCTGAAACTCTAGATTATGCTGGCAAATTACATTTTTCAGATGCTAAAAGCAGCAACACTGAAAATCAGTCTCATTCAGCAGAACTCAAAACTGTAGAATCTCCGCCTGTTATCTTCCCGGATGCAGTTGCTTGTCAGTTTTCTACCACAGATAAGCTCAGTGAGTGTAGAATGTAGAAGAAACTTATAATAGCAGTGTGTTTCTTATCTAATTTCCTTTTGACAAAAGGTGGTATTTTGGCTTCACAGTTGTCATCTATGGGGATCGTAGTCTCTATGTTTGGGATGTAAATGATGTGAACAAGGTAATTCTAAACGTATTTCAGTATTTTCCGCAGAAAATTAGTTAATTTTGAAGTTCTTTCTAGCGCCAGTGTACTTCTGAAGTTTCCTGTTGAAGCGAGCACCAACTGCATGTGGTGAAACTTTTCTTCCTTATTCCAGCCTACTAGGTGCTCGATGATGGTGTCACATTCTGCTGGAATTTGGGATATTAAAAATCTCTCTTGTGGAAATATGCACAGTCCAACAGCTGCATGTGTAGCTAGGGGATGCAGTGAAGGGGTTTCCTTTGCTACATGTTCTGAAGATGGAACCATCAGATTGTGGGATCTCGCTTTCCAAGTGGACCCATTAGAAGCCAGTGCAAGCAGCAATCCCTCAGAATCTTCAACACAAGGGATTATGCATTTAGGTAATTATAACATATGCTCGGAATCTGAAACAAATTAGTGAAGATGTTGGTGTTGTGGTAAATTTCTGATCATATTTTGTTTTCGAATAGTCATTTTCACTCATTATTTTTAAATAATGCAGCTAGCGCTGGAATTTTTGAACGTGATCTCGTGGAGACATGTGGTAGCCGATTTGGTTTCCGAGCACTGGCAGTAAGTGAAGATGGAAAGTACTTAGCAGCTGGTGACTGTGGAGGGAACCTTCATATATATGATCTACAAGAATCAGAGTATACATGCTTTACGGTAATATTAGTCACCGTTGTTCATTTTTAAATTGGCTCTGTGTCTTCTTCAGTAGTTGGTGTCTAGACATCATATTTCTAAGCCTCTTATTGATAACCATTTTGCAGGATGCTCATGATACAGAAATTCAGTCATTGAGCTTCAGCTTTCCTGGAGTGAAAGAAGTTAATTCTGTAAATACTTCAAGCAGCGGTTTCTTGCTTGCTTCTGGTGGAAAGGGCCGAGCGATCCACATTTATGATGTCAAAAGGTGTTAAAATAACAGCTTTGTTATGGTATTTTGATTTCCCTGGCAAGTGGCAAGGCTCATACAACTTATACGTTCTCGCTGTTAGGAACTTTGATCCTGTTGGGAATGTTTGTAGTTCAGCTGCTGTAACTTCTGTGAAATTCGCATGTAATGGCCAGAAAATCATAACTTCTGGTGGAGATAGGTAATGTTTTATATGCTTCAAGACCACGTAACTTTCATATTTGCTTTTGAACATCCGCATATTTGCTTTTGAACATCCGCATATTTGCTTAAGAGAAATTTACGAGATCATTGTTAATTTTGTTGCAGGTTACAGCTGTTTGACGTTGTCAGAAAAGCAAGTAGTGTGCGTCTTTCACCTTCTCGTTCTCAAACTCTCTCTCACGGAACCATCTCTGATATGGCTGTAGATCGAACAACAAGACTTGTTGTCACTGTGGGACAGGTACCAACCTTTCGGTGAATATTAATATATTACCACCTTATCTTGAGCATATTGAGTCAATTAATCATACACCTAACATCTGATAAAACAAGGAGTCTGATGTTTTATCTGATGGGTGCAGGATAAGAAGATAAACATATTTGATTTAGAAAGTGGAAAGCATGTCAGATCATTTAAGCAAGAACGAGACCATGGAGATCCCGTAAAGGTGCATTGACAAACAGTTTAATTATACTTCAACATTGTTGGATGTTCTTGTGCTGACAATAAGATCTCTTCCACAGGTCATTTTGGACCCAAGTTGCAACTACATGGTGTGCTCTTACTCTAACAGGACAATCTGCTTTGTGGACTTTGACACTGGAGAGCTGGTTGCTCAGGCCACAGGACATGGTGAACCTGTGACTGGTGTTATCTTCCTACCTGATTGCAAACATATCATTTCAGTAAGTTTCTGAATTGTACTTTTCTGTACTTACAACTGTAAGAACTTTGGCTTTTGGATGAAGTGAAGATCACTGTCTCATTTCTATTGAACTGAATCACCGTAGAAGAGCTTAATGTGCTACAAAGTGTGGATCTATTTTTCTTGGTATGCCTCGAATGATAATGAAAAACTGAGAGAAAACTTAGCTTTTAACTTTTCGTTGATGCTTATTGTCAGGTTGCAAGTGACGGCTGTATATTTGTCTGGAAACTTCCTTTGCGAATGGCTACTCGTATTATACGGGCAGTAAATGAAAATGGCAGGTTAACTGTGGTCCAACTCGAAAAGTTCAAGCAAATTGCAGTTGATTTGGAGGAAGACAATCCAAAAGATGCATTATGTTCTGCAAACTATAAGCCAGCAGAAGAGAACGCAGATCTGCAGCTACGCTCCCCATGGACATCCTCATTTAAGTTCAGCGTTTCTCGACTGCCTAAGTGGGCTCAAGCTAAAGTGGAAACATCTGATATTGCTACCAATTGTGAGGATTCCATTTCAAACCAGGTACAAACCCAAAAAGTGGGCTGCTTTCTAATTTTAGGGAATCATTATTAAATGCTTTTTTAAATCCTAAATTTTCAGCAAAAGGCTTACTGTTCTTCTGATATTGGGTGTTTTTATTGCCTCCACAACAGAAACATGAAGATAAAAGTCTGGAAAATACTGTTGACAGTGCTGAAGGGTACTCGTATGTGAATCTTGAATGCCAAACTCCCAAGCAAGGTTCAAAAACCGAAAATTCAAGCCTTGGAAGCCTGTCCAAAAGCTCCAGCGAAACTGAAACTTCAGTGATTCAAAGAGATGCTCCTAGGTAAGAAGCTCT